GGGGGGGGGGGGGGAGGGGGGAAGGAGGGTCAGATGCTCGGTGTGTTGCGCTCTGCAGTGGGCAAGCTCAAGCTCGAATCGCATACGTACAAAGAGGGCGGAGGCTTCACTGACAGCCGTGGATGCACGCTTCACGTCCTCTACACGCCCAGGCCAAGCCCCAAATAGATTCAACAGTTCAGAGCGGTTAGCCAGCGCAGAGCATCACCCTTCTTATCGCAATCCAACAAAAGGAGAGAGCGCGCCGACCTGGATCCAGCGAGCCGCCGAAGAAAACCACATTGGGCTTGAGTACGCCACCACACGAAGCGCAGGCCGCGACGGTGAAGCGTCCATACAGATCCTCATCAAGAACAGCGTCTCCATCGGGGCGGACGGCTTCATCGTGCACCACAGAGAACTGATCGAGCAGGGCTTTATTATCGGCGAGCAGACGGCTCTGAAGCTCATCACTGCAGAGATGGACGTTGCGATGCAAATGATGAGGCGCAAGGTATCCCGAATTGGCTGAACCACACGAGGTGAGCGAAACAGCATCCAACATACCGCGTCGTGATGCTGTGACAATTCATACACTTGACCTGGTCGAGGCGGCCATGCAGATCAATGACGTGTTGACTGCCAGCCTATGTATCACATTGCCGCGCACGTTACGGGCCCGGCACAGGGGTGAGATGACAGCACCCAATGGGAAAATGGGGCCAAGCAGAGCGGTGTGCCTTACTCGTTGGTGCAAACCATCGACATTTTGGGTGATAATGGCCCCAACGAGGCCACGGCGCTGCAGTTCATTAATGGCCTGATGTCCGACGTTGGGCATGGTATCGCGGATGCGAGGATAACCTGTCTCACCAATGATATATTGGGCATCAAGGTGAGTTGCAAGAAAGCCCGAAAGGACAGGTGCGGCAGACGGGGGTGGCAGCCGGGCCACAACGTGCCCCATACCCACCATATAGGCTGCGGGCCCAGTACCGCTGCTGGCGTTCGTGTGAACCCAAGAACTCGAGATGCTGCAGTGGTCGGTGAGGCGGACGACCGGGCGATCGATAGTCGGGAATGCCCGAGTCGGTTGAGATGCCTGATGGACATGCGAACATCCGTGGCAGGCTGAGTTTTCGACATCAAAACAAGGCAAGAGTGCAAGCAGCGGCGCGCACCAGCCCCAGTCAGGACGCAGACGGGCTCATGGCGGAGAAGGAAGGCCGACAGAAGCTTAATGCCTTCCTGGACGTCAAATGTGGCACTGATCACTTCGGTGGGCAGGTTTGCCCCCGCTCGGATGGCGTTGCGTAGAGCTGGATGCAGCTTAGTGGCCGCCATAATAGTGTTGTCTCGAACCGGGTTAGCCAAAAAAGAAAACAACAACAACAACAACAACAACAACCGCCACAATCAGGGATCAAACGGCGCTGCGCCACAACCGCGGACAACAGCAACCCCCCACGGCCGCTGACCAGGGCGAGGCTGCCGAACCAGCAGGTCGATGTTGCAGTCCACCGTCACGTCGTCGACCTTCACCCCCCCCAAAAAAACAATGACATTGTCATCATCTTGATGTCAGCAAGTTTCATGGCAATTATCAGCACGACAAAACACCAGTTGAGCACAGAGCAGTTCAATGGAAACAACATACGTTGAGTACATAAAGTATGGCGGTGTGACACACAGACAGACAAGCGGCGCATATTCAACACACGCGGCACACACACACACACACACACTCTCTCTCTCTTTTGAAGAATCAGTCGGCGGTGGAAAGGGCAGCGGCAATCAGGTCCAGCGCCCGGAAGCTTGGATTGGTGTTGCATCTGTGCGCACTCACGTGAAGCGACAGCAAGCTGCTTGCTTTTAAGCAGCATCTCACCGCGGCGAGTGAATATCCCGGTTCGTGTTGGTCCATGAGTACCTGTCATCGCCCTCGCGAACTTGCCTCATTCTCTGGCTCCTCATGTTCCGATGCTTCTCTTTCGCTTCCATCACGCCAGGTGCCTGCACTTGAGGCGGGTAGTGGGTTTGCGACACAGCTCGCATTGAGCCCGCTGTTTGTTCCTGTTCAGCCAACGGCCGACTAGACTTGGCGCGCGCTCGCGACGCGCTTTGCACAGACCGTCATCATGAGTGCTGAAGCACGCATCAAGGAGATTGAGGAGGAGGTGCGGTCAAATGGGGTCTTCCAGCAGTCTGAAGAGGCATGTGCTCAAGCTGCGACCTTGCTCACGTCCCCCTCGTCTTGCGTCGGCTTGTGCGACAGATGGCCCGAACACAGAAGAACAAGGCCACCGCCAAGCACTTGGGCCTACTCAAAGCTCGCCTGGCCAAACTTCGCGCTGAACTCTTGGCGCCCAAAACCACTGGTGGCGAGAAGGGTGAAGGTTAGATCTTTGGCTGCGACAAAAATCCCCGCAATCTCATGCCTGCTATCCCCGATGGAACGCGCTTTCTCGATCTTGATTCGTCCGCGACTGCTTCTCCCCGAACTGCTCACCTGCGTGGGGGTGGGTCTGCTTGGTGCTAGGCTTCGATGTGGCCAAAACGGGCCACGCACGAATTGGTTTTGTCGGTACGTTGTTCAAGACGTCCTACCGCCCCTCGTTTGTAGTCCTCGTTGTCTTCACCATGCGCTCGACACCCGCGCGCGCCACAACACAACTGTTTGGCGTGCTAGGGGTGGGTGCAGTCGGATGTCTCACAATGTATTTGGTTAGGCTTCCCTTCGGTCGGCAAATCAACACTTCTCAGCAACTTGGCCGGCGTGTACTCAGAGGTGGCTGCCTATGAGTTTACCACTTTGACTACCGTGCCCGGTGTGATTCAGTACAAGGGTGCCAAGATTCAGCTTCTTGATTTGCCCGGTATCATCGAGGGTGCCAACGACGGCAAAGGTCGCGGTCGCCAGGTCATTGCTGGTGCGTCAAAGAGTCGTACCACCTGCCACGATTTGTGCGTGCAAACGCTCTCTTTTTTTAATTTGCGGTAGCTCATCTCCCGCTCTGCTCCTCCGCTCTTGGTCTCGTACCAACCGACGTGTCGGCAATGGGTGTATCCTGTGATTGGGTTCTTGGCAGTTGCCAAGACGTGCAACCTCATTTTCATCTGCCTTGATGTGCTAAAGCCCCTCTACCACAAGCAGATCATCGAGGTATGGTGGTACAGATTGGTCTTGCACATTCATTGTCACGGCGAAATGCATGGGATATGCGCTCACTCTCGACGGTACCGGGTTCTATTTGAGCAGAAAGAATTGGAGGGCTTTGGCATTCGCATCAACAAGGAGCCGCCACAAATCCAATTTCGCAAGAAGGACAAAGGTGGCATCAACATGACCAGCACCAACCCCCTGACACACCTTGATCTGGATACCGTTCGCACCATCTTGAGTATGTTACAGGCCTGTGCTGCGTGCGATGTATCGCGTGTGTTGTGCGTCTTTGTGTGTTATTTTGCGGTTACCGCCCAAACCCACTTGCTCATGTTGTTGATGTTGTTTGGGGTGCTTTCAGCCGAATATCGCATCAACAGTGCGGACATCAATTTCAAGGAGGACTCGACGGCCGACGATTTGATCGATGTGATCGAGGGCAACCGCGCCTTTATTCCAGCCATTTATGTCATGAACAAAATCGACCAGATCTCCATCGAGGAGCTGGACATTATCTACCGAGTATGTCATGACAAGCGGCTGTGCATCAATGAGGTTTTCTTTCTTCTTTGGAACATCAGCTTCGGGCCCCTACATCACTTACCGGTCCTCTTGCGGTGGTATGCCCTGTCTATTGTGGGAAAAAAATAAAAAAATAAAAAAATAGGTGCCGCACTGCGTGCCCATCTCGGCGCATCACAAATGGAACTTTGACGATTTGCTGGAAAAGATGTGGGAATATCTCGCGCTTGTCCGAGTGTAAGTGTGCTATTACGGGCTTTGTTCGACCCTTGTGCGCGTGTTTTACCTGGTTCCATGTTACCATCCCTATGCGTTTGTCCTTCCCTTGGCTCATGTTGGGGGATACGTGCATCAGGTATACCAAGCCCAAGGGCCAATTGCCAGACTACGACGAACCCGTTGTGCTGCGACATGGCACGAGCACGGTCGAGGACTTTTGCAACAAGATTCACAAGAACATGATCAAGGATTTCAAACAGTAGGTTCTCGTACCCACTGTTTTGGTGTGCCCCAGCTCTTGCTAGACCGAAGCTCATCCGGCTTTCTCTGCATTACACAGCGCCTTGGTCTGGGGCTCGTCTGTCAAGCATAGCCCGCAGACCGTGGGTAAGGAGCATGTTTTGCAAGACGAGGACGTCGTTCAGATTATCAAAAAGTACGTGTTGAGGAGGACCGCAGATTCGATGGATGACGAGCTTGGCGCGCGGAACTTGCCAGTGCGTCATCTGCTTATTCCCTTTCTCATCTTGCCTGTGTCTCTCTTTTATTGGCGGTAGAGTCTAAACCATGTGAGCAACACCTTTCTAGGGATGCCTCTTGTTTTTTCTTTTCTTTTTGCATCTGTCTTCTGCGTTTTTCTCCTTCATGTCGTGGTCTGGTGTGCCCTGAAATTAAAAACAATGCTTTGCAACCATCCCATGTATATCTGTTGCAACTGTCAGTCGTACAAGGGATGGGCAGGTGAAGAACGGCTTTTTGCCATGACGCCTTGACAGAGTATGCCGCTTCAGCAACATGCTTGCAAAAATGTGTTGATAGTTCATCTGTTGTTTCTTCTTGTTTTTCTCCGTTTTTTTGTACAAATTGTACGTCAACTGAATTGGATGGGCTGTCCTCCTCCTCCACCACCTCCTCCTCGTCCTCCTCTGTGTCTTCCTCTCCTCTGTGCCTTCCTCCTCCTCCTCCTCCTCCGTGTCTTCCACTCCTCTGTGCCCTCCTTGTCCATTTCCTTCGTGTCCTCCTGCTGTCCTCGGTGTGCTTATCCGGCCGTTGCTGCGCTGAGCGTAGTCGCAACCGTGGGTTACACGCCGTGTCAGGCGAGGTCGTTTGCTCATGTCCTGTGCTCGATAGCCGTTGACCTTGAGACATGGTGACGATGAGTGTGCGTGCTGTCGTGGTGTGTGCCATCTTTGCGGCGGCATGGTGGCAACCTCAGGTTTCGGCCGCCACGTACGTTGACATGCGCCATTGCTGCCTTGCGATTCACTGCCAGGCATCCGAATGACGCGCTCGTGGATCGATTGCTTGTAGGCTGGGTGTAGACGTGGCGGGTGCCGTGTCAAAAGACACTTGGGACTGCTTGGCCAAGGCCGGACGCTCCTTTGCTATTGTTCGTGCCTGGCATTCGTACGGAGAGTTTGATAGGTGAGCCTTTGTTTGCTTTGCATGGGCTTGGTTCAATGTCTACGATTTGAACGCAACCTGCCGCCGTCCAAGCTGGTGGAATGCACGTACACGTGGAACTCACGCCTGATTGTTGTCTTATTATCCTTGCCTTGCCCGGTAGCGACTCGGTCAACACCATCAAGAGTGCCTGGAGTGCCGGCATGCGCCATGTGGACGTGTATTTGTTCCCATGCCCTTCCAAGAGCGCAGCTGCGCAGGTCAATGGAACCTATCATAACCTCGACACCAACAAGGTGGGCTCTGCCCCTCTTAGCCCTCAGACAGCCCAGGGCGTTTTGGGACACGGCGAGCGGCCAGCTTCCTCAGCGGGCACACATAGGGCAGATCAAACGCTCACGACTTGTTTGGGCCGCTTGGGTGATGCTTTTTTCTCTCATAGGTCAAGTTTGGCATGATGTGGTTTGACATCGAGATCAACCCCAGCGATGGGTGCCACTGGAGCTCTGACTTGAGCCGCAACTGCAAGTACATGAGCGAGCTGATTGCGGCGGCCGAGGCGGTCGGAAACCCCTGGGGTATCTACTCGTCGCATTACGAGTGGGAGAACGTGATGGGCCTGGACTGCACTGTGGGCAAGAACTTTCAACTTTGGGACGCCCACTACGACGGCAAGCCCACCGGCGATTTTGTGCCCTACGCCGGCTGGACCAAGGCCGCCATGAAGCAATACAGCGGCACCAGCAAGCTGTGCGATCGTGAGATTGACCTTGATGCCTACTAGACACCCGGCCACAGTGATGTGTGTGCTACAGCGGCCTTATGAGAACACTGAGCAAAATGTCCGGTGTTGACGCGTGCAGGGATAAACGCTTGTTCGAGTTTGGCCTTGCATTTGCGACATCCTACTCATCGCAGTCCTTGCCGCACACGACAAGAGTCAGTCAGACAGGAAGGCAAGTAGCCGACCCAATCCATTCGACCATGTCAAACCTGCTCTCTCTTTATCGAACACAGGCGCCTCCTATTCGCTGCATCTGTCGTCCACGAGACACGCTCATGCAATGATGATGATGATGATGATGCTGATGCTGATGATGATGATGACTTTTACCCCGTGTCCTGAGACCTGCGTGCATCTGGTCGACTCAAACCAACAAGAAAGCCCCCGAAACAAGCGCCACAGCCAGAGTTCATGGAATGGCAGAGAGGGGCGTTTCCATGTGTCACACTTTTTTTGTCATCCACTTCATCACACACACACACACACACACACACACACACACACACACACACACACACACACACACTCTCTCTCTCTCTCTCTCTCTTTTTTCTTGTTCCGAGCAAACAAGAACAGATCGTGTCGGATCGTCGTTGGCGGGACGGTGGAGTTGGACACCGGCAGACATGGCGCCGCGGGTGTGCAAAATCGGTACTGGCGATGAGATTTTGGGCGTGCTGCAAATGCAAAATGATCAGTTTCGCTGCCTGTGTCGTCTGCCAAAGGGTGCGATTTTATTGGACAATGTCCCCGAACCTGAAGAGGTGCACCTCTTCCAGGTCGATGAGGATTTGACCGTGAGACTGAACGATGTCGTGCTCGATCTGGCCCCTGGACGTCAGCACGTCCTCAGCCTCATTCGCACGCTACATGCAGCCGATGCTTTGGACTACATTGAGTGTCCTGACGCGCTCCGTGAAGAAGCCACGACCGATGGCAAGCCACCCGGCCACACTGGCTACCACGTTGTCATGACGCGCACCCTCACGGGTGTCGAGTTTCGTTCCAGCGGCCAGAAGCGCCCAAACCCGCGCATCAACATGATCCTGTCTAAGAACGGTGATCTCTCTTTTGCCTTGAACACCGAACGCTTTCGGGTGATCAACAAGATGGGATTTGAGGAAAACCATGAGGACCCGCGGCTTTGCCGCCTCCTACTTCAAGTCGACGGCGACATCATCGCTGTGCCAGCTGCCGAGGCACTGCCGTGGCTACGGGCACTCACTATGGTTTCTCTCAATGTGCCGCAGCGCGAGGCCGTCCAGCATCTCTTTACTGGCAAACAAAGTGAACGCGCGCAGGATCTCTGCCAAAACCACCACGTGCTCAACTGCGACATGAGCGAACTCGTGGCTCTCGATCTGCTCGGCGGGACTGCCTCCCGTGATTACGAGGGGGCTGGTGACTATTTTATTGTGTGTCATGCAACATTTGCACCCCTGCCCGAACTGAAGCCTGGCACCATGGTGCCCCATCGTGGCCAGCCCTTGCAGGCACTTGGGCCTATTCACGATGCGGTTGTGACATTATAGGAGACGAGCCTTGCCTGGCGCATGTTGCCCTTCAAAGATGAGCTAGCCTATGTAGACAGTAGTCAGGACACGGTCGTGATCAGGCGCGAGCAGCACATCAGCCGTACGTCGACAGACACGCCTGTCTGGCATCCTGTGCACCATCGCGCCGGGACCGTATGCCTCACGTGGTCCATGCCTGTGAACGAGCGCAGAACAAGGGTATCGATTTGTCAAGGTCATCAATGACGGGTCACGACGAACGGTACGTGCTTGCCGAGGTGTCTTTCGACGTGTCTTTCAGCTGACCGAGCCCGCCATGCCCTGGCCACAGGTGCTGCAAAGTCTTAGCATGGAGCAAGACCAGAATACCCTGGATGTTCGCGATCAGTTGGGTTGGGGTGACAACGTTCCGCTTCACGAACAAGCACGCGTGCGCAGCAAGCTCTACGAGCTGCGCGATGAAATCCCCCTAACCTTCAACCTCGATGGCACGGTGCGCCGGCTTTGGAATGCACCCCTCCACCCACTCAGGTACCCAGTATGCTGGCATGCCGCGTCACTGACATATCTTGGGTTGTGATAGAGTTCCAGCTGGGGCGCAGTTGACTATGAATGGATGAGCAACTCAGCAGTTTTTCAAAGCGGTGAAAGCAGCGTGATCCTGGCAACAGTTCGCTTTGATGGGAGCGCCGACAAAATTTTGGTCGTGCGCGATGGTATTCCCTCGCGCTTCATATCCTCCTTGGAGCAGGTGGAGGATGGCGGGCTCATGGACGATGTAGGTCGTGTCAAAGGCCGCACTCAGTAATTTTTGAATTCAGCTCGCTCCTTTCTATCCACCCGACCTGTCTGCACGCAGAGTTCTATCCGGCGATGAGGAGTGATCTGTGCTCATTCGAAGTGACTTTGGGGGTCATTGCACTGCAGGCGCAAACGCATTACGAGATCACGCCGGCTGCACTGAACAAGCTGTTGCCCAAGCTTTATGAGATCAACTCGCTCATTGCACTGGTCTCCTTGCCACCGTCTCCCAAATGGCGCGACCGCACACCGGTCGCCTCCTTCCTGGACGGCGACGGCGATGCGGTCGTCTTTCAGCTACAACAGCACGTTCAGACCAAGGAGCGGCGCCTGGTCAAGGTGGTCAATGTCAAGCGCGTCAAAGTGCTGACCAAATTGGTATGGAGTGAGGGCAATGATCTGCGCGACCAAACTGGTTGGGGTGGGTCCGTACCCGATGAGAGCGTCCGCAGCGTTGTTCGCCGCCTGCAAACCTACCCGTTGGCCGAGTTTGTCGACTTTCCCGTTTTGCCGGATGACGAAGTGGTTTTGGACATTGTCGACTTTGTGGACGAGGACGGAGATTCAATCGGCTTCCTTTTGGCACGCTCACCGGAAGGCATGGTTCAGCTCCGTGAGCGCTGTATGGGCCAAGCTCAATTTGAGCCTATTCCCAGCGTGCGCTGGAATCACGAAGAACATGGCCTCAGCTACTCTGATTGCTTTGTGCCCGTGGGTCGTCAGGATCAAGAGCGCGTCTTGGATGCCCTCAAGAGCGCGTCCCAGACACATCCCGGAGTCTTTACCTTTTCAGGCTATGAAGAGGTATGTCCCTCACGATCCGGTCTCAGCCCTGAACCACACTAATTGGCTCACGTGTACAATGCTCTCTATTGCCATCGTAATTGCGACCGCCGCGGGGCGGCATGCATCTCAGTTCAAGAGCTCGGTAAGCCTTGGATTGGGCGATCAGGGGGGTTTTTTTTTCCGCTTCGTGTCTGATTGTGTGGGCAGCACGCTCACTCACCGCCTCTCGCGTTGTTTGGCATCAGATCAAGCGAACGCAGCTTACGGACGAGGCGGCGTTGGACATCATCTCCAAGGCCGAGGGGCGGAAAACGGCCAACCGTTCTGTGGTTTGCGTGCTTATTGGGCGCGGTGGTGCCGGTAAAACACAAACGGCCAAGTCTATGCAGGGTATCGAGTTTGAGGCGGTTGGTTTTGTCCGCACTGCCCCTTTGTGTGACGCCGTCGCTTGTAGCCATGCCCATGTTTTTGCAGCTAGAGCAATACGCTTTGGTGATGGATCTTGGCCTTTTCTCCGTGCTCAACAACCTGTCTTGTACCTTCGTAGGAACGCAAATCTACCATTGGTGGCGATCGCACTGATCTCATGTTTGAGTTGCAGCAGGATCAGATTGTCGTCCGCAACGGCGCAGCCTTTCACAAGGTGCGTAGCATTCGAGCTAGCCCAGCTCAAGCCCTGTGCTCATGATAAGCGGTGCCTGTGTGCGATGTTAGGTGGAGAAGGTGAATCATACTGCACGTGGGCTTTTGTTATCCACGGAGGAGGGAGAGGAGCCCGATGACCTGGAGCTCGATGCCATTGTGCGAGGCAACGATAATTTTGCCCAACGTGACAGCCTTGCCAACGAGTTGAGGACCAACAATCGCATGCGGGGCCACAGCGACCACGGCAGTAAGTTACACGGCGCGTGGTTGAGCCTGCGCGGGCGCTTGCAGGCTTTTGGGCGGGGCAAATTGGCGCCCCAAAACTCAGCTGCTAATGGCCAACCCCTGTCTTTGTGGTTGTAATGCTCACAAACGTCGGCCTCGTTTGGTTCACAGTGGATGCCCCCAGCATCAGTAGCAGCTCTGGTGCGGTCCGACGGACTAATAGCAAGAGCACGCCCATGAAATCCCTGCATAAGGCCCCACAACCAGGCCAGCAGGCCCGCCCCGGCAGCGCTGCGAATGCAAAGGGGCCCGTGGGGGGCGGGGGTGGCGCTGCTGCCAATATGACACGTGCCCAGCGGCAGCTCATCCTTCGCAGCGTCCAGAACAGGTCTCGCGCCCTGCTTTGTGTGCTCAGTGGCATGGTTTGTTGCGTGCAGAGCGACGTTGTTCTCACCGCCGCATGCCTCGACATAGTGAAACAGAGGAAGGCATCCATGTCAACTTTTTTGACTTGGGCGGGCAACTTGAGTTTAAAGCCTTGGTGGAGGGGTTCTTGCGCAGCGGCAACGTGATTTGTGTCTTTTTTTCCATGTATGAGGTACTTCGTAATCTTCGAGGTCGAAGCAGCACTCATACGGACGACAAGCACACTGGACTTGAGCACTTTCTTGCCTGGTGCGACTCGGTCGTGTCCATTAGCAGTCATGGCCCCGTTTTATTTGTGGGTACCTTTGGAGATAAGGTATGTGGCGGGGTGAACATCGCGTTTGTAATTCCTTTATCCGACCACCCCACCCATCACCAATCTGGGGGCACAGTCGCGATCCATGGGCAAGTTCATCCGGCGTTTGGGCACATATTCTGTTAGGTGCCTGCATTGACAGATCGCGAGTTTATCTCTTTGGAGCTGCGACGCATCCTGACGCAGCGGCAGCATGCCATTTTGTCACGCGTCATCTTCCCGCAGCAGGATAGTCGCCTCATTTTCTTTCCCGTCGACAACACTCGGTCGCAGCAAGACCCGGGTATCCAGGCGCTCTCGCAGTCGCTGATTGCCACAATGCGCGACAGCGAGGTTGCTCGTCTGCAGGTGCCACTGGCGCTGCGCGTGTGGCAAGACAGCATCAACAGTCTTGCCTATCCAGTGACAAATGAGGCACTGGCCTTGGCCTCGCCCATCTGCCAGGCTATTCGCAAGCAGCAGCCGGATCCCTTGATGCCATTGGGCACACTGACGCTGACCGAGCTCCGCGAGCTATACGATGAGAGCTTTGGTCATGCAGAGCCGACGGATCTGCATGGAATCGAGTTTCGCCAGGTATGATTCTTGCAATGTGATAGCTGGTGCCAGCTTCTTCCTTGGTCTGTGTATTGGAGTTTGGTCCAATGGTGTTTTTTTGGGTTCAGAGACTGATGTTTTGCGTGGTATGGCGTGTTTTGCAGTGGGTTGATGCCATTCATGCTCTCGGCACGATTACGCACTTCAATTCGCCTGCACTCGAGGATCTAGTTGTCCTGAACCCCATCGAGCCACTCAGCTACATGACGCTGCTAGTGCGCAACTTTGATCTTCATCGTCTGCCCTTGGATGCCACGGTTGAGTTTACTGAAGACTTTCGCCTCTTGCGTGACTCTGGTACGTGGCACGAGGATAGCTGCTCAGCAAGAATGGCATATCCCTTGGCTGGGCTTGGCATGGAGTTGGAGTTGATCTGACGCGATGTGCTGTTGTGTGATTTAGGCATGTTAATGCCTGAGCTGGCCACGCATTACTTGGGCCAGGCGAGCAAAACGCCGCGCCAACTGCGCGACCTGAATGAGCGCGAGCAACAGCAAATTTTAGCGCTAATGCTGCAGGTTGGCTGCCTTTGAGTGGGGCGGGGGGTGCCAGGGCAGCATTGCAAGGCCCATATATGACCCGCCCCTGCGTTTTTATGTTTGATTCTTCGACTTGGACCGGTGCAAGTCTAATAAACAGATTTGCACTCCTCATAACTTGGCTTGCGTTTCGTCCCGCTGTTTTGCAGTTTGGTGTCGCCGTGCCCTTGCAAGTGGGGAGCACGGCTGCCTACATGATTCCGGGGTTGCTACCTTACGCTGCACCGTCCTTTTCTGACGCCGGGGAGGCTGCCGTAGAGGTAGGAGCCACATTTCCCCCCGCAGCTTGTAGTTTAGATGGTGATCTCTGGAGCTTGTTTCTGTGTGTTCTATGTGGAAGCAGAAGGGGCGCGTGTGTACTAGGTCACATTGTGTCGTGTGCGTTTCGTTGGGTTGCAGGTGCTGGTGGCTCCTTTTCACGGGCAAACGCTCACGCGTTTTGATTACATTTTGGAGAAGGACCTCGTGACTCGCACCACTTTGCCAGCCGGGCTATATGATAAGCTAATTGCAGCTCTCACCTCACACAGCCAAGGCGGCGCTTCAGCAATGCTGGCACAACCGGCACTCTCCAAAACCATGTCACGCCTGACTTTGGGCCGTTACGTGATTGATGTGATCCAAGATCGCCGCATGGGATGCCTGCGGTGTTTGTTTTACATTGAAAATGCCATCGGACTCATTCAGCAGGCAAGTCGTTGCTAGTACATTTGTAGTCTTGTTGAGCTGCGCAACAATCTGTGTAGGCCCCAACTGCGCAGCACAGTCATCACGCATTGAAAAGCCGCCTCACCATGGCCCAACGATCATGCGTTTTTGCAGGTGGATCAGCTGCTGCGCAAGGTGGTTCAGCAAGGCTTTTGCTCGCTACGCTACAGCCTGCTGGTCAAGCTCGATGGCGACACTTACATTCCGGTATACTTTGCTAGGCGGAACCCTGGTCGCCTTGGTGGAAGTGTTGGTCGATCACACATTGGCACTCGTGGCGTGCAACTAGGTACAACGGGTGCAAGAATTGTACGAAGCTGGCCAACGCAGCTTTATGGTGGGGGCCACATCGATGCGCCGTGAGCAGCTGATGGAGCGTTTGGCAGGCTTGCTGCCGCTGCGTTCCAACAGCCAGATTTATCACGTCTTCATCTCGTATCGCCATGAGCCGCAATCCATCGAAGGTGCGGCAGCCTTTGCCAATGAGTTGACTGTGCACGCGTTTGGTGAACGAGGCGAGCGCGTCAACACCTTCTTCGACGTGGTCAGTCTGGAAGTTGGGATTCGCTATGATGAGTCCTTTTTGCACGCCATCATGAACAGGTACGGAGAGTGCTTTGGTGTGATCGGCAAAGCCCAAGAACTTTGCCAGCCTTGGTACACCCATGCCATTGCTGGCGAGTTTGAGTGGTGTGGTGGTTTGTTTTTGTCTGTCTCTGCCTAACATGGCTCTCATGTGTCGCAGCGTCATCTACACGCCAGTCATCAGCACCGAAGCACTTCGACGCTTGTGTGATGAGTCAGCACTCTCGGCCCTGGACAACTTTTTACTCGAGCTGTTGGTGGCTGTCTCGCTGTTTGAGAAAACGGGCTACCCACGTGTTGTGCCTTTGATTGTTGGCGAGGTCTGTGCGCGTCATGACAAAGGGCGGGGTGCAAAAGGTGTGTACCGTACTGAAGCTCATGGGGGTTTTTATTGTGGCTCAGTTGCACGAGGATGAGGAGGGGCTGCCTGCCATGACCAACTTTTTCAAGACGTTTGACATGTCACAACTACCGGACCGCGTCAATTTGCCGACGGCGCGAGTGGCCCAGGACTTTTTGCAAAAAGAGCGCGGCCAAGGTTTGGACGGAGAGTTGACTGTGCGGCGCGTGATTGAGACTGTGTTGAAGTATCATACCCCACTCTTGCTCTGGGACTTTTTGGCGCCGACACCGGGTGGAACGCACGGGCGCGGGGCGATTGAACCGCGCTTAACTCGCCTGGCTCGGCGCCACGTGGACATGCAGCAGCTGTATGCCAAGGCTGCGCGTGAGACGGTGACGTTGCTGGAGGGTGTTGTCGACAAATTCCAAGAGCAGCGGGCTAGTGCCAAGGGTCGCCCACTTGGTCGGAGCCGATCCTCGCAGAAGAGCCGCACGCAGGTTTGACGCTTGCGCCGGTTTCGGGACGGGCACAAGACTCTTTGTGACGGCGTGGGAACGTGGTCGTGCAGACCTTGAGCAGAGCTTTCCTCACACTCTTGGTATGTTATCGCTGCGCAGGCGATTCAGAGCCACCTGCTCGAGGCGGTAACAACGGCGGCTGACCAGACTGGGGAGACCGCGGTGAGAGATTGGCAAGTCGACCAGGTTGTGCGCTGGCTCAATGAGCTGGGCTTTAAACAGTACGTGGAAGCGTTTACACGGGAAGAGGTCAACGGCGCGCTTCTTCTGCAACTTTCTTCAGAGGATTTGGAGCAGGATTTGGTACGTGGGATACTTTTTGGGTTGAATGCGTGTTTTGTTGTCCCAGCTGGGCGGATATGGACTCATTGTCCCGGTCGATTTGGAAACACAGGAGGTAAAGAGCCGGCTGCATCGCCGCAAGATGCTCGAAGCTATCAAGCAGCTCGAATAGGGCTGGATTAGCTAAGCGACATGACTGCGCGGCTGGGGCTGTGTGCTTTCGGGGGTATGCGAGCCGGCTTTCTCTCTTGAAAACGGTGGCTGAAGGCCTGTTGTGTTGAATGAACAAGCAGGCTTTGATTTGTTACGATCATATGCTCTCGTCAATTCGTGTCGCCATTGTTTTGTGAGTGCATGGAATGAATCTTTGCTTCTTACTTTCAGTATGTCAATCATCGGCCTATTCTGACTAGTCGGGCGAGGGGGCGTCTCAGACGCGCAACTCTTTAAGAATTATTGGCATTCGAAAAAGAGGGGCGGAAGGAGTTGCTGCTTCCAAGGGAGCGGCAAGCGGGAAGAACTCAAGGGTTGCTCGAGGATTGAAAGGGGGACAGGGCGTCAGAGGACACAACGCAAGTCGAGGTTGGCGGGCGAGCGGCCCAAGGCCACAGGGCGGGCCAGAGGCCATCATCAGTAAGATAACGCGTGATGCGTTTGGAGGTGCTGAGGCCAAACTGAAACATGAGGCTGTCGGGGTAGCGTTGGCGGGCTTCGGCGGGAGTGGTGTGGGGGTCGGATTTCCACCAACCACCCGGGTAAAAGATGTGGGCGGGGATGAGGGTCACGGGCACTTGACGCAGGGTGGCAGTCACAAAGTCTGGGCCAGTGACTTGCCAACGGGCCACGCGTTCCACGACGCGGAGCTGAAAGTAAGAGTGATTGAGGTTGCGAATGACGAGTTCGAGGCCCGGGTGGTGGGGAGCAGCGCCAATGACACCGACGGCATACATGTGCGGTTCTTGTTGCGGAGTGGGGTGGCTGGCGGGGCGCAGCTCCTCGCCAAAGAAGAGACCTGTTGCATTGGCCTGCTCAAGCAGGGGCTCAAGGGGGCGGCCAAGCCAGAGGGAGTCGGCATCAACGTAAACACCACCGTAGTGGTAGAGAAGTTCATAGCGAGCAATGTCGGCCTTGTTGGCAGGGTGCTCCTCATGGAGGTAGGCGGCCCGGTTGCGCAGGGGCAAGCGGTCCAGCTCGGATTGCGTCCAGAGGTGGTAGGTCCAGTCCGGGTGGGCGGCGCGAAAGTCACGGGACCAGGTGGTGACCCAATCGCAGGGCGGGGTCTCAGTGCCGAGCCAGATCTGATGCAGAATCTTAGGGACGCCTTGAACAATCACAGGAGCGGAGGAGGGTGATGGGGGGTGAGGCGTGGTGCGAGGCTCCAGACTGGCCAAACAATCCAGGACGACGACAGAGGGGCAGGGGCTGGGCGCAAGAGCAAGAAAAGAGCCAGAAGGGGCTTCAAGGTTGGCAGGGGCGGCTAGGGTGTGCGAGCAACGTACGGGTGGTGGTCAAAGGATGAGCCAGACTGTGGTCCAGATGCTCAAAGTTGGGTCGGGGAAAGGGCAATGGGGCAGGCCGCGAGAGACTGCGGCCGGCGTACAGACATAGCGGCAGCAGGACGAGAAGGCTGAGCGCGACCTGCAAGGTGTAAGAAAGGCAAAGTGACAATGTTCAGAAAGGACGGGGCCAGGCAGTCGTTGCTTTGATCGAGCCCAGTGCCAACCAGGTTCCAAGAAGCTGTACCGACCAGAGCACGGCAGATGTGCGAGCGACGCATGCTGTTGTCAGACGAGCACCATGCACTCTTTGGCTTGATGAACGATTGACGCAGCTTGTGGCAGGAAAAAAAAACACCCACACCACCTGCCTGCTTGCAGCCACAGCGAAAGGAGGAGGAGGAGGAGGAGGAGGAGGAGGAGGAGGAGGAGGAGGAGGAGGAGGAGGAGGAGGAGAGTCCGTCCCGGGTGACCGATGGTCCCTTTGGAAAACACCACCGAGGCACGACTTGACAAGATCTTGTGTTTTGGACCAGCCACGTGCCAAAGTTAAATGGGTTTCTTGGAACTTGAATAAAAATATTATGAGAATCAGCAGCAAATGGCAGCCCCCCTCCTCTTCCCTCTCTCTCTCTCTTTTTTTTTTTTTTTTTGGGGTGGGGGGCACTGCCTGCCTGCCTCGACTGTCGATGATGGGAAAGAATTGACCCGAGCCTGGTAAAAGCCGTGAACATGGCGGTCCTTGGCTGATCGTGCAGAAAACTTGCTGCAGTGTGTGTGTGTCGCCTCTCTACAAAACACGCCTTTGGTAGGGGTGATGCGCCATTGGGCATTACCCCTAGCCTTTCGCAGCAAGATGCCGGCGTGAAGACTGGTCACAAAGCTCAGCCCTCGCTGTCTATCCATGTTGCCCAGACTAGCCAACCAAAAGGCAGCAGAGAGAAAAAAAAAGAAAGATGATCGCGTCTAATGGTGTTTAGGAACACCGGTTTGGGATAGAATAATAAAGAGCAGTCGATATGCACGTCGCATTCACAGCTCAAGAGCTCAGGGGCAATAGAGAGCACAAGAAGAAAGTGCTTAGCCGCCAAAGCCGTAGAGGGTGCGGCCCTGGCGCTTGAGGGCGTACACGACATCGAGGGCGGTGACGGTCTTGCGCTTGGCGTGCTCAGTGTAGGTCACGGCGTCACGGATGACGTTCTCAAGGAAGACCTTGAGGACACCACGGGTCTCCTCGTAGATGAGGCCTGAGATACGCTTGACACCGCCACGGCGAGCCAGACGGCGGATAGCGGGCTTGGTGACACCCTGGATGTTGTCGCGCAAAATCTTGCGGTGACGCTTAGCGCCACCCTTTCCAAGGCCCTTGCCGCCCTTTCCACGTCCAGACATGATTGAAGTTGATGCGGTTGCTACTGGAACAACACTGAAGTGATAATCAGAAAAATGCTGGACTGTGCCGTTCAGGTCTCCACTTGTACCCGAGCTGGGAAGGCCGGTCGAGCGCGCAACCGTTTCGAGCCGTTTGCGCTGTTGTGGCATGGACCAAAGTGTGACGTATAATACGCTTTGACTGCAAAAGGACGTACGACGAAAACTTAGAAAACAGAATAATTAGAAATTGACCCAGGGGACTTTTTGAGGGGACTTAAACGTGTATGGGATAATGAATACAATGCACTGCATTCCGATCGAACATCGGCCGGCTCTCGATGGCTGAGCGGCATTTTCTCAGCCCATCTCAAGGATCTCCTGCCCTCTCTAGCCTCACAGCTCCCCCCCCCCCCCTCCCTTGAATCTTCATCATGTCGTCCAAGACTGGCAAGGCTGGCAAGGCTGCCGGAGGCAAGGCCAAGTCACGCTCTTCTCGCGCCGGCCTTCAGTTCCCCGTCGGTCGTATTCACCGTCACCTGAAGAACGGCAACTACGCCCAGCGCATTGGTGCCGGTGCTCCCGTCTACCTCGCGGCCGTCATGGAGTACCTCGCCGCTGAGATCCTCGAGCTGGCCGGTAACGCCGCCAAGGACAACAAGAAGACGCGTATCAGCCCCCGCCACATCCAGCTGGCCGTCCGCAACGATGAGGAGCTGAACAAGCTGCTCTCGGGCGTCACCATTGCTCAGGGTGGTGTGCTCCCCAACATTCACAACATTTTGCTCCCCAAGAAGAGCTCCTCTGCCGCCAAGTCGGAGTAATTTGTCGCCAGCATCCCCAAGCGAACCCGATCTAGCGCTTGGATTTGTTGCGTGTGTGCGCGGCTGCTGAGCAGTTTTTCTTCACCATCGCCAAAATTCAGTACCCTCTGTAAAATTTAAATTGAACGTTTAAGAAACAGCTTTGTCATCGTGATGTTTGATTTTTCCAAAGGTACACACAGAAACTCTCAATCCGAGGATGTGTGACGTAGTCGCCCTTGTCATGTGTTGCGAATGCCAGAGGGCTCTTCAAAGGCTTGCGTCATCGCATCCTTTTGCATTTGGGGTGGGAAAATCCCACTTTTAATTGTGGGTCCCAAATCTAGTTCTCTCAAACAGGTTACGAATACGAGTCGCCAGCACGCAACTGGTTCAAAGCCACGCGCGTTCAAACCACGAGCCCGACTTCTTCTGTGTTGGAAAGGAAAAAAATTAGAGGAATTCTGACTTTGGGCCGCTTGTATCACACACCGCCGTCCCTCCACAACAATTCCTTTCCGGGGAAGGTGATGATGGGCCATGGTGAAACACATCAAAAGCATGGCCATGCGAATGGACCCTCAGCAATGGTTGTCGCTCACTTCCTTTTTTGGTTTCTTCCAAGTCACCGCACCAACTCGACACAAAGGACAGAGCAGGTTGAGGTTGGGCATGGAGTAAGCATCATAAGCATCATCAGTCATCATAATCGTGGGCATTTGTGAGTCGTGAAATGTCAAGCGGCATGGCAAGAAGGAGTGTGTGAGTTGCTTCTGTGTGTTGTGGTAGAGTCGCTCTTGCATGCCACCGGCGCCATTGCAACACGTCAGTGTCATGCGCTGACGTAAGACATTCTGCATGCGCCAAACGATCTTGGTGATAGCAACCTCGCTGATCTAGGCCAAGTGGACCTTTTGGCCACCCCCAACAAACGCCATCCCACTGTCCCACATCTGCCACTCCACAAGCCTCACGAATGAGAACAAACGAAACAGAATTGGTGACGTGAGCGAAGAGTGAAGAGAGAGAGAGGAATTCAGACAAGTGCATAGTTGAGAGACGGCAACGTGGCATCTTCTTCGATTTCACACACGCACAACACAAACAGACACGCTCTCTCTGTGTCTGGCTGTGTGTGTTTCTTTTCTTTCTCTCTCTCGCTCTCTCTCTCTCCTCTCTCGACTCACTCGCTCAGAGTGCGAAACGGCAGCGTGCTGATCCTTCCAAAGCCCTCAGAGCAGGGCACACATCCCCTCGCCAACGGTCGGTCATGTCCAAGGTCAACCGTGCCCAACTTTGCCCCACCATCCCACACCAAAAACCATCCTCGACCCCTCCTTCCACCCACCCGCCCACGCACCTCCTTCTTCTTCCATCTCTGTGTGTCTGTCTTTTGTCTCTTCTCTCTTCTCTCTCTCTGTGTGTGTGTGTGTGTGTACTTCATTTTCGAGAGCGGTGCTGCCCGCGCTTCTCCCTGCTGGCCGGCGCTGGTGCTGGACCTTGCTAAAAACACCCGAGCCGGCGTGCTTTTCCCCTTTTCACGCACCAGCCTCGTTCTCTCCTACGCAGACACCCCACCTCGCTCGACTGCCCCCTCCCCCCCTTTTTTTTGCTCTCCCCCCACACCGGTTCTGGTTTGTTTTCATTTCCCTGCACACATCATCATCACAGAGGTGCGTCCACGTCAATCCTTGTCCCGTCCCGGTTGGGTTCATGTCCTCTGCTGGGCCCAATGCCCGAACAAGCGCCCGTTTCGCTCGTTTGCGCTTTGCGACCGCTCGGCTGCGGCTGCGGCTGCGGCGGCTGTTGTCCCATTTCTTGGGCAAGCACCTTGTTGGATGCCATCAACACAGCGCATCGGGGCCCGCCGCCATAAGGGAGGAGGCGGGGCTGCCATTCCCACCCACCATCTCTCAACCACCTGCCGTGTGCTCGCCCGGCCAGGTTTATTTTTCACTCCTTGGAGCTGCGTGCTGCTTGTTGGCTTCGACAGCACCCTCCTGTGCGCTCTCTTGAACATTTTGTCAGGATACCGGGGTTTGTACTTGGCTAATCGCCTTTCCACACGCCTCAACTCAGAACCCAGGTACTGCCCCAACACATGCAAACCCAACCTCCCTCTTTGCCCGCACATGTGCGCGCGGCCGCTGCTATTCACCGGCACTGCAATGCACTTCTGTCTGCATTCATCTGTCTGCCTTGATGCCACCCTCCTCCCTTCTTTTTTGCCCTCCCTCCCGCTTTCTCTGCTCCTCACTCTGGCCGGCTTTGTGGTGGATCTTAGGCGTCACATGGGCCGCAGCAAGGCCCTTGTCGCGCACCTGGTCACCCATCACTTCTCCTTTCCAATCCTTTGCACCCATCGTTATCTCGACGGCCAACCAACATGGCGGCCACCGTGCCTCCGACCAAGAAGCGCAGCTCCGACAATGTCCTCATGCAGGAGATTGCCAAGCACCTGTACGTCAAATCTCGCCAATCGCCCCTCGGTCACCCTCACGTGCCTTCATTTTTAAAGTCTACAATGCCAATCTAATTTTCCTTGCACCCCCTTGACCCCAATAGGCATGATCATGCCCTCCGACGCCACAACGACCAGTCCTGGACAAATTCTTCTCGCTTGCGACAAGCCAAAACGTCCCGGGCCGTTGATCCCCCCGTCAGTGTGCCTTTCTTGGTATTTTTGCGTGTGCCCTGTGCCGTCAGCACCCCATCGCACACCCCATCACTTACCAATGCCTCGATCACCATCTCGCTCGGCAGGCTGAATTGATGGAAGAGGTCAGCTTGGGTGCCAACTCCTCCCCGGAATTTGATTCGGGTCAGTCACCTCAGCTGCCCGCAATACCACAACGTCGTGTGCCCTGTCACACCCTGTTTCTGATGGCCATCCCAACTGCTCTTGCTACCCCCCGTCGCCAGATCCCGTGCCCGAGCGCGCTCAAAACGCTCGTCAGCTTCAAGAGCAATTCGGCCGCCGCCTCAGTCACATGGACACGGTGCACAGCAAGCTGCACCGACACAGCCAAACTTATAGCTACGGACGTGGGCAAAGTCACCATGACCGTCGCTCGTCAGCTCTTCCCCTCTTGCAAACCAATCATCGAGTACGTATGAGCTTATCGCCTTTTTTTTTTTTTTTTTTTTTTTTTTTTTTTTTGCACGATCGTGTATCAACATGCCTCATCTGTGTCTTGTTGTTTCCCCCTTCTTCCAGGGCTCACTCCTGCGGGGGCCGTCTGCAAGCTATACGGGTCGCGCAAGCCTGACCACTCAAGAGCGCTCCTTCCACCGCAACCTCTCAACTCAAGGAACCATCATGGGGCTCGTCGCTCACTCCAATCTGCCAAATCGGGATCAAGCTCGCCACGTGCGTCTGTCGCCCCATTGAAAACGGAAAACAAACAAACACAAAACCAAACAAAACACCAACTCCTACACCTCATTCTTTTCTTTTCCATTCGAGATTCCTCACTTCCGCGCATGTTATCTCATCCCTTTACCGTAGCGTTCTACTTACATGTCAAGGCGAACAAGCCGCCTGAGTGGCTTTCATAGCACCAGTGCTCTTCACTCGCCCGCCTCTTCGACCTCAGTTCTCTCCCCTCATAGTAGCGCAGGCGATGGCGTCCCCCCGCTCTCTGTTCACCGCTTGGACCAAGTTCATTTGAGCGAAACCCCAAGCATTGACAGCGTCGATAGCGTTGGTGTGGAAGCCTCCGACAAGGCCGCCTCCGTGGGCATCTCCGTCATTGCCGAGGAAGATCGCATGCAACCACCATCAAGGGCCGGCAAATCAAGTTCGGCCAATGACTACCCCTCTGTGACCGCCATGCTTTCCACCAGTCCAGGCTCGCGCCTCAGCCTCGCCCACATCTCACTGGACGCAGCTCCACCGACGCGCCCACGACCCAGTCAAAGCATGCTGAGCCCCAGTAGCGTTTTGCGCGCAGCAGCCAGTCCTGGTTGCCAGCGCCAGCTCTCTTCGTCTGACTTCAAGGCCGCAGCCAAGCGCACTGATCGCTTGCTTGAACGGCCTCGCCGCAACCGCAGCAATAGTGCATCTCCTCGCCTCGACCAGAGTTACCGCAGCAACCAACTTCTTGAAGTCGTTCCCCTCACCACTATTCCCAAAAGCCCCGTTCTGGGCCACATCAAGAAACCGCGTCGCTTCACCGCCAATGCCCCCGTGCCCGACCACACGGACAAACTGCAAGCTCCCGGACAGACAGCATCCCACCCGCCTGCAAGCCAACCGTCCTCGCTGGGGGCCATTGCCGAGCAGGCCATCTCTGTCAGCCCGGGCAGATTGCCCCACCTGCCCGCGATGGATTCGGCGGTGCCCGACTTACCAAATGATCAGGCCTTCAAAGACATGCCGGCGTCAGGTGTGAGCGAACAAAGCGACGCCAACAAGCTGGGCAATAATGGGAACGCGGTCATTGGTGCTCCCCCGTCGTCCTCTCTCCTGACTAACCCAACGGCTCCGGTCTTGCCTGCCATCATGCCGGCTCTTTATCTTGACCGCTGGTGGAAGGCCATCGATGCCGGTGATTTCGAGGCCGTTCAGGTTGGTTTTCTCGGATGGATTCCTGAGCTAGTCATTGGCATGTCAATTTCAAGCACGGTCGCCCACAGCACTGCTCCTCCAATATCTCCCGTGGCGATCATCAAGTGATTTCGCATCAATGCTTCTGGTTACAACCTGCCTCACCTTCCTCTTGCCCGCCACCACTGCCATGCCGTCCTTAGGCCTTATTAGACATCTGGCCCCAGCTCATGGAGGAACGACGAGACCAAGACCAAGCCACAGCGCTCATGGTTGCTGCTGGTCTGGACGATCAAGACCTTGTCGAAGTCTTGCTTGAGCGCGAATCAAATGTCGCCGAGGTGGATATTGACGGGTAAGTGGCAGCAACAGCAACGTTGGCGTCAACGATTGGGTCCAAACTTTGGCCGCGCGATGTATCTGCTGATACAAAAATAGCGCGCTCTCATCGGGTCCCTCGCTGGTTATGTTGGCAGTTTTTCTGCGCTACACTACGCCGTCTCGCAGCGGGCAAGCGTGGACATTTTGGATTTGTTGCTCGAAGCTCGGGCGCCGATGGAAGGCTTCAAGGTTTGTGCCTGCCTCGGCTTGGATCGTGTCGACCTCTTCATTGAGGTACCGATTGGCGACTGACCCACCATTTTGTGCAATGCATGGCAGGTGCCGCCCCTCCACAGCGCAGTTGCAGCCGACAATACCGACGCTATTGCAATATTGTGTGCAGCAGGGGCATCTGTGCACGTCAAGGATGCGTTTCAGCGCACACCCATGGACGTTGCACGGGCAGCCAATAAGAAAGCCATGGTCGAGTTGTTGAGCCAATACGCTTGAGCGTCGCCGTGACGCTGTCCCGACTCATGGATCAGCCGGAAGCCTTGCAGGCGACGTCTCGGTTCCAGTCTGAGGGCAAGTCACGTCCGAGCAGGGCGTGCAAGGCAACGTTGTGTGGCCGGTAAAGCTCCTACGGTTGTCAAGCACACCAGCTTTTAATGAGATGACCAGAAGCGTGCAACCACGACTTCTGATGATAAACAATTTTTTTCCCCCTTATTTCTCGTATTTACCCGACTTTATCATGGTTAAGCGTTAGGTTTTGCTTTCCTTTTTGAGTTTTTCTTGCCCTCTCTGTTTGAGGTGTTCGCGATTGGAGGGAGGTTATGGTAGGCGGCTAGTTTGGTGTTTTGTTGCGCATGTAGGCGCATTGTGGCTCCCGGAACATTTCTACACTTGAGTTTTTCTCCCCATCATGTGCCGAGGGGCGTGTGAAATCATGCGTATCCTTTCCTCGGACTGATGACAAGCTTTCTCATGCTACTGCGCGGGCGCGTTGGCTCGGCAGAAATTGAATAGCCATCTTGATGAATCCCACGAAACGAAGGCGCTTCTTTTGAAAAACATACCGCAATGGCGCGAAGGGTGCTGCAAGCGACCCCGCGGTAATCACTCAGCTCGGGATGTGCGTGGTGATCGTCCAGTCGTGTGTTGTAGTGGACCCTGACGATCTGTTGCAAATCAGACGGTGGTAACGTGGGCAGGCCGAGGAAGCGATAAATCCTCTCCAATCCAGCTAGCCGAGTCAAGCATCAGCACGGGTCAAGGGTGGGAGCGGGCAATGGGCAAGGCCCCAACAAGCTGGTGAGATGCTGCCTCACCTGGCCACCACCCTTGAACCTCGCTCTGGCAAGGAGCAATGGCAGTTCACCCGAGGACCGATGCTGATTACTGACCCACGGTAGCGTTGCCATTGGCAAAAAGCTCATCGTAAAAGAGGATGAGGAAGTTGTCGCGAGGGAACACTTTGAACCAGCGTTCCAAATGAAAGGCGTACAACCCATCGTAAATGACGTTATCAGCTTGCTCAAACAGTTCTATTTTGAAGCGCGAGTCATGGGGTCCATGGGTGAATAACTGGCGGTGTGCTTCGTTCTCATACTGATGCAGGTGCGCTACAACACCTTGATCTTCCTGAACCCAAGTGGGCCAGGCTCGTTCCTGCTGTCGAAAACGGTTCAACTAAAGGTTGGACAAGTGAGACGACCAGGCACGCAGCACAGCCGCCGAGGGTCAAGTCGGCATATGATGAAAGGCAGGCATCCCGTCTCACCTCCTTGTGCAACCAAGGGCCAAACGGGGTCCCGGGATGGACAGACTTGATGCCCAAGCGTTGGCGCATTAAAAACTGTCAAGCATGGATCAATGTATGCTATCAGGAAAGAGATTACGGCGAGAGGGCAGAGGTAAACAACTTCGTACCGTGGAGGCGATTCGTGTGACAGGCTCGCGTAGTACGGCGATCAGCTTGACCTAGCAATGGGCATGATAAGAGGCCCTCACAAATTGCGCCTGCGTGCGTGCGTGCGTGCGTGCGTGCCTGACTGACTGACTGACTGACTGACTGACTGACTGACTGACTGAACACCGGGAATACACAAGGTGGGGTCTGAAGCTGGTAGATATGGCGAGCCAGGTCAGACTAACCTTTGATCCACACCAGTCATGCAGGCGGCGCGGCGCGGCGTGGCTGATGAGCGATGACACCGAGCCGTCCACGCACAGGGGTGTTGCTAATGGGATCAGGTGGCGGAAATGAGCAGCAAAAACTGAGATAGAGTTCAGCTGTGGATTTGACGAGGATCGAGCGCCATGTGGGATGCGCATCAGCGAGCGTGGCACCTGCGGCGTCGGTTTGGAATGGCGACGGCGTGGGGAAATGTGCATTGTAGTCTTCAAGAGTGCCACCGTGGTGAAGAATGTGAAACTCCTTTGTGCCTGTTCATTCAAAGTGATACGAGTCCCCAGGGGCAACGTCATGAGGGCCCAGGGACTAGGCGCGCAGCGTGCATGGCGGGTAACGCACCATTAATGTTGGTTCTCGTCTCAGGGTGATGCGTCAGGTAGTGGAAAAGGGACGTCGTGCCACCTATTTTAAGCAGGGACGGAGTTGTGACGGTGGGGGGACGTTTAGCCCGCGTGTGCTGGTCAAGCCATCAGGAAAGGGGAGCACAGCAGACCTTTGCGAGCACCAATGAGAAAGACCGAGGGGCGACATGTTTCGGAGAAGGGGCGCCATTGACTTGGCAAGGGTTCTTCACGCAGGGTCTCGGCCAGCGTGACTGGCACTTGCAATAGCAGGAGCAGTGTTGATGCCGCGATGGTGATGGCGTGGGATTGGGGCAGCCGTGCCATATTTGCTAGAGTAGCACGTCTCTTTCTTTCCAAAAATACAGTTGCCGCCTTCAACACTATCGGGCTTCTGATGTCGTTGGTCGGCTGAGCGTACACACACGACTCAGCGCAGGGCTCTTTTGGATGCACGCAAGCACCACAAGGTCGCGTCTTTTAGAGAGAGAGATGAGAGATTACGAGAGAGTTTGGTTAGAGAGAGAGAGTTTGAGAGAGTTTGAGAGAGTTTGAGAGAGTTTGAGAGAGAGAGTTTGAGAGTTTGAGAGAGTTTGAGAGAGAGAGTTTGAGAGTTTGAGAGAGTTTGAGAGAGTTTGAGAGAGTTTGAGAGAGTTTGAGAGAGTTTGAGAGAGAGAGAGTTTGAGAGAGAGAGAGAGAGTTTGAGAGAGAGAGAGAGAGTTTGAGAGTTTGAGAGAGAGAGAGAGAGAGAGAGAGAGAGAGAACGGCGGCGGGGAATGAATTGGAAGGAGTGGGGTTTTCTTGGAGGCGTCACGGCTTGACTGCAACAAGTTGCTCCTTCTTTTCGCTCTTTTACCCCTCCCATTCTGCGTGTGGTGTTTGCCCGACTCAGTGAGGAGGGCTCAAGCCGTTTGGGGACACGGCAACAGCAGCAAGAGAGCTGGAGGTTGAGGTCGCGCTCGAAGATTCTGTCAAATGACCTTGATGAGTTGTGATTGCGACATTGTGCCCGCCAGCGAGGGGGCAGGGCGATCAGGTCTGGAATTCCAGTCTCTCTCGCTCTCTCTCCCTCACAATCTCGCGTGCATTCGCATCGCGTGGGCGCATTCAAGGCAGTGGCTTCGGCTTGGCTCTGGTTGCTTGCCAATGCCGCGCTGCCAAGGCCCCGACGTTCGCTTGCCCCAACGTTGACCTGCACAACGTCGTTGTGGTGCCCCAACGTGTAGCACCTTACATAAACTCGTACTGGAAAGACATAAACTCGAAGCTAACAATCAACATCCAAATAATTAACATCAAAAACCTGATAATTAACCATGGTAATAATAAGCATAAAATTCTGAAAAGCGACATTAACTTATTTATAATCTACAATAACATTAGTAATAGATACGATAACCTCAATGGCATTCAACAGCAACAACAATCACATACCAGACCAACGTGTGTGTGTAAGCCGTCAAAAGAAGAGTGGGGCAGAGAGAGGGGCAGAGAGAGGTGCACAGAGAGAGGAAGAAGGCGCGAGAGCATGAAATCAGAGAGATGACAAAAAGCATAGACAATAGAAGGGTAAAATAAAAGGCCTTTCAGAGAGAGTGCGAGCATGTGTAGTTTAAAAGAGAAGGAACCACAACCCAGCCAGAGCCTCAGAGAGTTTGATGGCCAGCGAGGGCGTGTGGATGCCTATACATTACGTGTATAGGAGGATTGCTTCATCGTGTGTGTGTGTCTCTCTCTCTTTTTTCTTTTTCTGGTGCTCGTGGCTCGGCTGACTCGGGCTTTTGGTACGTGTCGCTCGTCGCTCGCTCGCTCGCTGCCTTTCTGGTGCGGTGGGTCTGGGCAGTGGCGCTGGTTTGTGGTGGCTTGGTGTCGGTGGCTGGTGGTTTCTGGGGCACTTGATGCTGTTGGGAGGGAGGCAAAGTAGAGCGAGTGGTACCGCGCGTGCATGCGAAGCGGCGGCCACCGTACCTTGGCATGGGTACCCGTTTGCTCCTCCTCATGAGGTTCAGGCCAACGGCGCAGCTTCTCACGGGACTCACGTTTGTCTCCCAGCCCTGGCAGAAGAGGACAACATCTGTGGATGCCTGCCTGCACATTGTGTGCAGGTGTGGCACGGCCCGTGGGAAACACATTTTCCCGCCTGTGGGAAACACTCTCCCCGCACATGTCGTACTCTTTTTAGTAATAATAGCATAATAATAATATTCCGCCAATTCCCCGTTTGGGCCACCGGACGCGGTCCGGCCCCGCGCCTGATCTATCGAGGTAAGCCCATAGCAGCGGCAATGTGCTCTCCCATGCGCTCCACACATCCCGCCTTTTTTTATTTCCTTGTCCTGCGTTGCTAGTCCGCAATCTGTTCGCGCCGCCAGCATGGCAGGCCACCAGCTCGAGGCTGCCAATTTAGCCGGCAACGTCGAGGGCCTCTCCGGGACAAGCCACATATCGGCCTCCAAGGACCATCTCCGGGATACTCTCCCCAAATCAAGCAGCGTTAATGCCAAGTCAGCTGGTTCTCCCGGCACCGTGGAGCACAACGGTACCAACGGCGACCAGCCGACATCTGATCTCATTGAGAGTCGGGGCAGCGCCGCCAGCAGCGAGGGGGGCCTTGAACTGACACGTGACGGCATCGGCCTCGAGCATCACGGCCAGGAGGAAAGACCCCAGCTTGCTCACCCTCCATCGCTTCCCCACGTGCAGCGCCATCCTTTACTGCAGCGCCAAGCCACGGAAAACACCTCCCCGCCCACCGATTTGCCCAACGAGCTACACATTTCGACTGAAACCTGCAACACGCCGCTCTCGGGTCCACCCTCCGCCACCATTATCAATCTGGATGCTCCCGACGCGCCTATTCCTCCCACATCCAGCCTCGCTGCGGATGATGCCGCCTTGTTTGATCACCTCACCCGGAGTGCTGGTGCTGATAATCATGAGGCCGGGGACGACGCAGCACCAGTGAAGAAAACACACCCAACCAACTCTGGGGATGTTGACAGCGTGTTTGTCACATCAACTGCCACCGCCGCTGCCGCTGCAGGCTCACCGCTTCGTCGTTCTGGCAGCGCCGAACCTCAAAGTGTGGCCAGTCCTGCTGCCTTGTTGCCTCGCGCCCGGTCAGTGGGAGACATGCCTCCGGAAATGGTGCACGTCGAGGACCCCCGCGAGTCTGAGCAGGACCAGCCTGTTGTGCAACAAGCCTTTCATCACTATCGTTCCATCTCTATGGTGGAAGAACGGGGTGCTCAACCAGTGCCCTGGTCAGTGCCGCGAGATGCTAGTGGAGCCAAACGCTCTGTAGAGTTTGAGCACCGTCGCCAACGCTCCGCTCATTATCGGGGCAGCGACACTTTTGACGATTCACGCCCGCCTTCGGAGCGCGACGCGGAGATCCAAAACACAAGGGGTGCCACAGAGATGTCCGAGAAGACTCCCCAAGAATCGGATGCCCCCAAGGACGCTGTTGTCGGCAAGGGTGGCTATTTCGAGGAGGAGGAGGAGGAGGACGCAGCCCACTTTTGGGCCGTTGTTGGCCGCTTCAAATGGTTCATCCTCACCTTTCTTCTTTGCATCGTCTTGCCGGGTCTTTTGTGTGGCTTCTTGGCCCCGGATGCACACGTTGGGCAAACGAGCTTCACCGCATGGGCCTTCATCTTGGGAATCATTATCCTGGCCTGGCCTGTGGTCTATCTTATTGTCCATGTAGCCGGTAAGATCAAGCAGCCTGGGCGCTCCGAATTGCTGTCCGCGTGCTTGCCTGACTTAAATGCCGGCATTGCCTTGTCTCAGGCTGGACCATGGTTTATCTGGCCATGTATCGGAAAAAGGGCCCGGCCATGATGCGCTACTACGTCGAGGGTCTTCGCGTGCCCGTCACGACCTTTGCTTGGGCAATTGCTGCGACCGTCCTCTTTCATGTTCTCATTGTTTCGGACCCCTTCCCCCCGGCCCGCCCCCCGGGCTACCGACGCAATGTCATGGATCAGGTTTGGTGGATTGAGCGCTTTTTTATCTGCGGCATCATTGTCTCCATCTTGCCCATGGGTCGTGCGTACATGATTCGGCGGGTGGCCCTTCAACGTCGCGCCGAGGGCTATCATGAACGTGTTCGTGAGGCCATCATGTCCTCAATGATCATGTCCCACCTGACCAAGAACGTTTCACCCAAGTTCGTAAAGCCCACTGCTCTTGGGTCCTTTTTTTCGCTCCTTTCAGTCACACGTCTGTGCACGCACTCAGCCAAGCCTGACCCAGTCTTCATGCTGCATTCTGCGTCCGAGTCTTGGGGCTTGGTGCCATCGGCTCACTCTTTGGTTCTCGCTGGTGTTGGTAGAATGATTGCTCCACGCGTTAAGGCGCAAGTCAAGCGGCGCAAGCGTGCCGTTGAGTTCGCTTTGGCCAGCAAGTCGGCGCCCAGCACACCGCCCGATCGTAAGTATAATGCATTGCATGCGGCGGCTCTCACAGTGCCATTCGCGTGAGGAGACCAATATGGTTGCCAGGGATGACCTGAAAATGGAAGCCCCTGTCTTGCCTCCAACACACCCCTGATGCCGACGTGCTGGCGTAGCTGAGAAGGGCCGCAAACAATTTCGCATGTGGAAGTCGAAAGCTACCAGTAGCGCCGGGCCCGGCAAATCTACCAAGGCCATCTTGAAGCAGGCGGCTTCGGCACTTTCCGTTAGTCAGAATCGACAAGAGACGGAATCAACGGCCTCTCAACGTGTAGATCACGTTGAAGACCACGTCAACATTTTCGGCAACCCCAGTACGCTCAAATGGCCATTACTTCTTCCCAATCTCGCCTGCTCGTCTCTACAATCTGCCTGTGTTTTAAGTTGAGCTTGGAGCAGCAGCCCAAACTTATCTAATGCGCCTCCTCATGGCCTGTCGTGTTGTACAGATGCCCTCAACTCGCGGAAGTTCCCTCGCAGCACGAACAGCGAGATTGATATGGATAAACTGCTTGCTGACGCAGATACCGTGCAGCGCATGCCCATGATGGTGTGCCGTCGCACGAAACAAATCCGCTCCATCAAGGTACACGGTCTGTTCGAAGACAAAGGGAGCCCTCTGTCACCATTGAAAGAATGCTTCCGGAGGAAGAAGGAAAGGAACAACAGCCCCTATCGCCCCCCGCTGTCTTGATTTATTTATTTATTTATTTATTTATTTATTTATTTATTTATTTTTTTTTCCGCTGATACACTCTCAATTCTCGTTTGGTTTGGATCTCTTAATCTTGCGCTAGGATGCCCGATATTTGGGTTCGGCTCTCTTTGACTGGTACTCTGGGGTTCGCGATCTGCGTACCGAGATCATCAATCTTCCTGATGCCACAATTCGTGTTTCAACACTTTTGGACCAGTTTCCCCCAGAGTCCAAGCTGCGCAGCCACGCTGAGCGCATTTTGGATCCGAGCAAAACCGGCAAGCTGACTCGAGAACAGCTGATGACCTGTGTCGTGGAGGTGTTTTTGGGCCGCAAGAACCTGGCCCACTCGCTGGGCGACCTCGACTCGATCATCCATGCCATCAACGCCTTTCTGATCAACGTTCAGGCTGTCCTGACCTTTTTGGTCGTGCTCGTGGGCTTTTCCACCGGAGAACTCGCCGACATCGCCCTGACCGCAGGTGCGGCGCAACTCGTGTTGGCTCGTTCGAAGCGCCCTTTGACATCAGATGACACACCAGGTTCCCTCACTGACTTGTTCGTCTTATTGCTTGCCCTCCTCAGGAACAACCATCTTGGGCCTCTCCTTCATCTTCTCTGACACCTGCAAGCATGTTTTTCAGTCCTTCGTGCTGCTTTTTGTGGTAAGCGCAACTTACGGACAATGGCCCGATGTTCATGGTCGTGTGCCCAGACTTCACGCCACCCGATGAACGCTCGGCTCAATTCGTGATGGATCGGTGCTGTAGCGTGCACCTTTTGATGCCGGGGATCGCGTCGAGATTCAAGGGTACAGCGAACCCTTATATGTCCAGGTGCGTGCTGGTGGCCGTCCGTATGTCATGGTTTGTCAGGTTGCAATGCTCACAAGGATCGACCTGGCTTGGTATTTTCTCGTGATAGAAAATGGAGCTTCACTATACGGTTTTCACAGTTTGGAACGGCTTGGTGGTCACTATACCTAATCACGACCTCTATAACAAGGTCAGCTGCTTTGCCTGAGCAGCAAGCACCCTTGCCCTCGTGGAGTGTCGTTGGCTTGATCCATGCCTCATTCGTTTTGCGCCTGACTGTGTGAGATAGACGATCTTTAACGTTCACCGGAGTGGCATGATGTGGGAACAAACCAAGTTTTCTGTTTCAGTGCGCACATCATCTGAGAAACTGCGTCTCCTCGAAGAACGCTGGCGGTATGTTTTTGCTGCAGAAACCTGTTGTTTCAAGTGTGGTGGAGTGCTCCCGGCTTGGTGGGCTGCCTGCTTACCACGCCCGCCTAATCTGCGTATCATCTTCTCGTGGACACGCACCTGGTGCAGAGAGACCTTGCGGGCGCATCCCTTTGATTTCCATGATGCGCGGTCCTTTTTCCTTCTGGATCGCATCGAGGATGCCAACAAACTCGTGATTCACATGATTTCTGCCCAACGGTTCGTTTGTTGATTCATCTTGTGCTCCCTGTGCGCGCCCCTTGATTTTCGAAGCCGCCTCTTATTCAAGTGTTTTTGACGCGGGACAGGACTAACTGGCAAAATGGCGAGCATGTCATTCGGCGAAACATTATCACCGCTGCAATGCGCGTACGTGATTCAAAAAAAAATCGGCTTGCCTGACTCGCATGGTTCACGGCCGGCCTCTGATGTCCTGCCTCTGATGTCCTGCCTCTTTCAATCTTTACAGAAAGCCTGTGAAGACTTGGGCATCGAGTACGGCCCTCCCATTCAGCGGGTCAACCTGGTTGGCAATGGTGTGCCACCGCCCTCGTCAACTTTCGAAAGCGGTTCTTCAAACTTTGCCACTCGTGCCGCCTCTTATGATGGTGGCCTGAGCGAGCAAATGCACCAGTCATAGCTATAGATGGTCGGTTATGTTGGTGTTTAAGCTAATGTTGACATTCGCGCCGGCCGCTAATACAGCCGGAACAGTGAGACCGTACATAGGGGTCTCTTACCCATTGTTCTCGGCAAAGTTCCTATCAACATCGCTTTGTTGTTTTCGTGTTTCTGTGTTCGTGTTTTTCGTTTTTCGTTTTTCGTTTTTTTTTTTGCTTTGTTCCGCGGTGGGTGTTGCCGCGGCAGCACACTTAGTTAGTAGGAAGGCCGAATATGACGGCTGTTTGCGACCTCTTCATCCTGCAGATGGCAAGAACACCACTGACAGCTGAATGGATGTAGCGATCGTGGTGTCAAAAGTATTGGGTTCAGATATACTTGCTGATCCTCATATGAAAAGCATCGTAAAGCATGAAAGCCTGAATCGATAAGATGCTTTGACTTTTTCTAACCACGCAAAGGCCGAAGACAAGGGATTGACGAGAATGATGAGCAACTCCTACTAAAGGTATGAATTATTGACTTGTGGCACACATGCGGGAAGACGTTCTTGGAAGGCCGCAAGAAGGTCGTCCAACCGAAGATTTATTTGAACGAGCACAGCCATTACTGGCACAGAGTGGCCCAACAAACAGAAGGAAGCTTAATCGTTGTCCGTGCAAAGATCGAAAGAAGACATAACCAGGCGATTGTCCCACTATATAATTCGGACAGACGAGCGAAGAAGCGTGAGGGAGGAGTAGACAAGCAAAGTTCTGCACAGCATGGGATGTCTGCACAGTACGCATTGCTCATCAACTTACGCCCGAGGAAACAATGTAAGGTTTGAAGGGGTGCCATGATACGTCTCGGACAATGGTGTCCGCATGGGGCTTAAGCCGTGATGCTACCTTTCCAGTTAAACTGTCATAGACGTAGATACAGCCGTTTGCAGAGCCCGAATAAATGTACCTGTGGGTGGGATGCACACAAGGGTCAATGGCCGAGTTGGATATGTTATTGAGTACCATGCCGGCATGAGGCGGCGTGAGAGGACGCTTACTTTTGCCCTGTGCTGAACTCGGGTGAAAAGCGTGCCCGGATGAGTGTACGAGCCACAACATGATCCCGATATGTCATGAGTGAGGTGTCATCACGGAGTTGGCGCTGAGGCCGGCCGGAGATGCCCCAACGATAATCTGAGAGAGCCACACGTGGGGCTGCGGTGTGCCTGTCACTCATCTGTATCCAACGCAAAAAGGGAATGAGATTGTCTTGAGCAGCGGCGGCAGCAGTAGCAGCAGCGTTGGCAAAGCAGCGCAGCAGCGCGTTGGTGATGACCGGGCGGAACATACCCTTCGTAGGTCCCACAGCTTGATGCTGCAATCTTTGCTCTGAGAAATGAAGTGCCGTCCATCGCCCTATATAGAAGGAGGACAGGGCGCGGAAGAACAGTCAGAGGAGGGAGGGGCAGCGATTCAAGGGACGCATGTATTTGCGGCAAAAGGTAAATTCAGGCACAAACATGAACATTCACCTTGGGATCAATATATGTGATGCCATGGCTGTGTCCCCGAAAAACGCCCACAGGCTCGTCACGTTCGTCGTCGACGATCCTACGATCCCAGACCTAAATCACAAAAGTTGGCATTGGGAGAACCGGGCAAGCAATTTTTAATTGTCTATGACTGTTCGCCCTTAAAGCGGGTAACGCCCAGGCTCCGACCTTCAAGCAGGGTGTGTGGCGTTAAATACCTTGCAGAGGCAATCGTCTGATCCGGTGACAAAGAGGTTGGATGAATCGTCAAGAAATGCCACGGCGTTGACGTCATCTTCATGTGCTGATATGGCTACTGGACGCTGTCAATGGCGGATAGCCAACAGGGCATCAATGACATGAGGTTGCCAGGCCAATGAAACGGCGCCATGCTCACACGTGCACCGATGGTTAGTCTGTCGTCGACGATTGTGAGCAAGGGCATCAACGAAGCCAGCCATACCGTATCCCGAACGCAGTCATAAATGAAAATGGAGGCGTGGTTGGTGCCGCCGATAATCTCGCGTGAATCATTGGAAAAGCGAATGCTGAATGGGCAAACCGAGCCAGCTAGCAGAGTAGAACAAGAGGACGCAAAAGACAACGGTGAAGTGCTGGGTGAAGCATGCTTTGGCATGGTTTAAAAAATAAGAGTTGACACTGGCTAGCCATGCATGCACCCGCTAATACCTTGGGCCAGATCTCCAGCAACGTCGAGGGCTTCGTGCCGACTGCCATCCAGGGTGATGAGGTGCACAAAATGACTCCAAGAGGAATAAATCAAAAAGTGCTGATCCGGCGAGTAGCAGCTGTTGACAACGCGCCATGTGGGAATACGGGCAGGTAAGTGGGCAGGGGTGTTGTCTGAGGGTAGAGCATGGCAAGTGAACATACGTGTCAACAATGGCCCAGCCAACATCGCGGGCTTGCACGGCTGCCGTAAGCCTAAATTCTGAACCTCGTGCATCATAGAGACGGAGCATGCCATCTGACATGGTGCAAGTTTTTCCGGCCGCGCAAGGGCTCGATAGTGAGAACGTCTGGCAAGCACATGACGCCGGGGAATGAAAGATTCATGTGTCATGTGAGCCTGGCACAAACCTTGACAAGCAGACATGAAAATGTTGCCGTCCTCGCTGTAGGTACCACAGAACGGATGATCTTCAAGGTCGATCAATGTGCGGGTCTTGCGCGGTTGAGGCACGAAACCTGACGTGAGGCGACGATTTTCCGCGCGGCCAGCGGCGGGTTTGGCAATGATGTTGCGATTTCTCTGTCGTATTGCACGTCCAGCGGCATTCATGAAGAGAGCGTCGCGAGAACGCGTAGATTAGGCACACGCAAGAAGAAAAGGACCTCGGAAAGCAACGGCAGCACGAGTCGGCGGGCGCTGGACGTTTGATCAACCAAGTGGAACGCACGGCTTGAAGCAGCTGGAACAAACTGGTGGACGAGGGAAGACTGGACGTGGCCTTGTATCCCAGTTGTTGCATGACCTTCTTGGCATACGGTGCTTGCTTGAGCTATGGTCAAGCACGTTGGCAGGGTCAGGTATGGACACAAAGTCAACGCCGGACGCAGGTCGATGGCTTCAAAGTGCTATGTTGCAATTTGAAGATGCCAAAAGTGGGCGCACCTGGCGGTGTGTGTCCGGTCGACGTAAGTCATGTTCGAGCCCTGCCGCAACCAAATAGCGATGGGTGACGTCCGGCATGCTGATACAGTTGTCATGATGACCTGGTCGCTGCGCAAGACATATTTCCGTGGTCGCACCTGATGTGAAAGCGCCCCCTGTTTGGTTTTGAAGTTCATGCTCAGGTACAAACTCGTTATCATCGCTTGCTCTATGTAGACATGGGAAGCACCTGGTCATGAGTCTAGGGCTCAGAGCAAGTTGGGGACCAAAGGGCTGTGGAAGGCGGCAAATGCGGGTATGCGTTCTTTGAGCTGCACGTTGCGAGCCACTCACGCGTCTTGACGAGGCAGCAAGTAGCGAAGCAAGAACTGTAAAGCCGCCGGTTCTTGTACTTCCAGACGCTCTAGCAGGGCTGCTTCCAAAGCGTGATCTTCCTCATTGCTGTCCTCCACGAGATCCTCTTCCTCCTCGTCACCGTCGTCGTCATCGTCTTCATCATCATCAATTGTGTCGGTCAAGTCATCACTCGAGCTGGCATCGCCATTGGCACCTTCTTCGTCACCGTTGTTGGGCCACAGCGCGCTCTGGGCATCTTCAAAGTGCAGCTCGTTGTCAGTGTCCATGGGCACTGCCGCTGTTGCGGCAGTTCCGTCTCTTGCGACCGCGGGTCTCGCAGCGTGGCGACTTGAGCGCCGGGGCCCATCCATGACTCGCCGTGGGCCTCACTCGACGCCGCGTCAAGCAAGCGGACTTGCTTGCAGTCAGGTGGCTGCGCGGCGCGAGGGCATCAACAGGTCACTGACGGCGCAGGCACCGGTTGCCCACCCAAGGATGGGGAGGAGCAGCGCGTTCCAGAGCAGTCGATCAATAGATTTGTAGCACACTAGACCAGAGGCCTCAGGAAGCCAGCGAGTGGGCGCTGTCGCAGCTCGTCAAGCAGGTGCACCGCCGACCGGGGGCGCTGCCACCGTCAAGTCAGCCAAACTACCACAAGATCAAGCGGACCGGCACAAACTCGGTCAGACCACACGTGTAAAACTGCATCAAGTCTGAGAAAAGCAACACAAACCTCAGAATGTCAGCCACTTGATCCTTTGTTTTGATGATGTTACACCCCTTTCAAAATGACGCCACAATGAAGTAAAGTGTGTCAGTGAGAGTGAGAGAGAGAGAGAGAGAGAGAGAGAGAGAGAGAGAGAGAGAGAGAGAGAGAGAGAGAGAGAGAGAGAATGAATTGGTTTGGTCAGAGCAAAGACACAAAGGAAAAAGAGAGAGAGAGAGAGAGGGGCTTGTGAGGCAGGTGCCTGGCACACTTAAAAGTATAATACTTCTTACATAGTCTTTGAAAATGGCGAAAAGTAAAATACTTTGCATTTTGGGGTGATGTTGTTGTTGTTTGGTGGCGGACGGCTGTGTGTGTGTGAGTTGTTGTTTGGTTGGCGAGTGGGGGCGGGGGCCGTTTGAGTCGTGCTCCCCCGACGAACACACACACGCGCGCACACACACGCACGTACGACCGGTGCTGTTTGTTCCTGTTGGCAGAGTAGACTCATTCATGGTGTCATTGCTGCCGGGTGCGCGCACTCGGGTCGGTATCCTGAACGTACAGGGGTGAGAGCGCCGGCTCACCCTGCCGCCTACCTCGGCGCTAGTGTGCGGTGGTCCACAGGCATCGCGCATTAGCTCTTGGATCCGCATGCTCCCTTTGATTTGATCGATTGGCCTCACCGCGTCTGTGAGGGCGGGTTTGCATCATTCTTTTACGTCTGCACATTCACCTTAAGCACCCCATCCGTCTCTATTTATTGATCGCTGCCCGTGCAAGCAAGGGGCGCACCGAATGCTGTTCACAACCTGTCCGCCGGCCCGTTGACTTGGACACCTGTGATCATGGGATCGGGTGCTAGCAAGTCACAGTCTGGCCGGACCAGCTCGCGGCAGTCTACCCGTCGCCGCACCAAACCCGACAGCAATGGACCAGTAGAGCCCGATGCCCCTAGCTCGCCTAAAGAGAATGGCAGCAGCAGCAACAAATCCCCGAGTCCCGAAAAGCGACCTCTCCCCATCGAGCATGCCATTCTCACACCGGACGCCTCGCCGCGCCCCGTTGTGTCAGATGTCACCACGAATGTCCACACAACGCGACGCGATAAGAGCCGCACGTCTGATGCACTCAGTACACATGGTACTCCGCGAACGCGATCTGTCTCGCCCCGGCCACAGCCGGCAAGCCAGTCAAACTCGCGTTCTGCTTTACCGCCAGCCTCTGCCGAGACAGATCGGAGCTCAGAAGCAACCAATCCGGCCGAGTCTATCGATGCTGAGGCCGGGTCCAACATTGGTGCGGTAGACATGGAGCGACTCTTGCAAAAGTACATGAGCTACATCTTTCACCGCGCTGATCTTGATCAGGATGAGGTGCTCTCTCAAACCGAGTTTGTCAACCTCATTCTTTCCCAGACACTCGACCTGCGCCTCTCCCGCGTCGATGCTGAAGCCATGTTTGAGGAGTACAAGGATCCCCAGGTGGATGGCGTCACTCGCGTGCGCTTTGATCCCCTCATACGGCGCGTGATCGACATGTACTGCGCGGCGCGGCGCGCCGATGACGAGCCGGGATGGCAGTGGTTTGGCATGTACTTTGACGATGATCCCGACTCACTGCCCGCCTATTATGATACTCAAGCCCGTGCCATGACCTACGACCGGCCGGCCGACTTCACCAACCGCCACGTCGTGGAGACGCAGCAGTTTGAGGACGTTGAACTAACCGACGGGACCGTGTTGACGACCTGCTTCGACGACCGCACCGGGGCTCGCCTCTACCTCGATTTCGAGTCGGGAGAGTGGTTTGCGTTGCCCGCCGAATGGGAGGACTCCATCGTGCGAGTAGGCCACAGCGATGACGCGCTTAATGGCGACCCGGCCACCTCCGGTGGCCAGTTGCTTAGTGATCGCGACCTGCTGCTCCAAGATGCCCTCGTCATGCATCCGTTGACGGGTGAAGAGTATGAGTGTGTGGTCGAAGACGGTGAGCGCCTCTTTTTCGATCACAATGCTGGTGAATGGTGTGCCATGCCCGTGGCCCTCGAGCTTCACGTGCCGGCCGTGGCTGCTGTGGTGGCCAGCATCCAAGAGCGGTTTCCACGGTGGACCTCCACTCGGGAAATTCTTTACGCGCTTCGCATGTCTGGTTATCATCCAGATGTCGTTATGGCCGACCGCGAGTCGGAGGAGCAGTCTGCTTTGATGCTGGATGCCAGTGGCCAGCCCGCTGGCGCCGCGTGGGCCTCTCAAGAGGGCACCACCGCGCCGACCCAACCGCGCAAGCGTCGAGGCCGCTACCCGGTAGGGGATCATCGCTTTGTACACCTTGCCTCCTCCCAATCAACCCTGGCAGCGTTGCTGCGGACGGACGAGGATCTTCTCACCGTGACTGCTGCACACTTGAATTCTCCCCGGCACCTACAATCAGGGAACCGTGCCGAGCTGGGAAGAGGCACAACGACAGGTCGAAGCGTTGCAACAGGAATTGGCTGAGCAACGCGCCGCAGCCCACGCCTTGCAACAGGAGATTGAGTCCAAGAACAATCTCGCTGAGCACCGCAAACAGCTGTTGGCGGATGCACAGGCCGAGCTGTTGCAGCTTCAGGACAGCAACGATGCGGCCAAGCGAGCTATGCATGCCGAACAGACGGAGAATTCAGTGGCTGCGGAGTCTTGGAAGTTAAAGGCCGAGCAGCTTCAGCAACAATATGATGAAGCAGTAAGGGCTATCCGAGGCATCGCGTGATGCGCCCCTATGTTTCTCTCGATGAGACCCCCCCTGGAGAAAGCGTGCACAGGGTGGATGTCCGGATGCTCATGGGTACATCTTGCTTTTGGTCCTCGTTTTCTTTCGTAGATTGTCGAATTGGAGGGCGTACGAGGTGGCGGCGATCTGCAGCAAACGCTCCAGGCACGTGATGCCGCGTTAGCCGAGGCCCGCGAGAAGAATACAACGCTACAGCTGGAGCTCGAGAGCTCCCGACAACAGCTCGAGGTATTGCAGACGGAGGCAGCTGATTCGGCGCAGGCAGCACAAGCACACCGCCAGCGGGCGCAGGGCATGGCCTCTCTTCTGGGTTCGCTGCGCGAAACGGCCATTGAGCTGCGCGGCAACTACAAGGTGCTCAAGGAGAGTGTGAAGGAGCAGTTGGTAGACGCCTTCTCGGCCCAACTGGTCGCTACCTCCCGCAGTCTGCAAGATAAGGCGGCTGTGGCCATCGAAGAGGCCACGGCTGACCTGCGCTCCAAATATCGTTATGAATTTCGGCAAAGAAAGCTTTTATATAATCAATTGCAGGAGATTCGCGGTCAGAGCATCATTTGCTGTTGCGGTTGTGGCTGATGGTCGTGATTTTGGCGGCAGTGTGTGAATGTGCCGTTCTTTGGCGTTGCTCTGACTTTTGTGGTTGCCTCGGACCGTTACACAGGCAACATCCGCGTCTTTTGCCGAGTACGCCGAGACGATCGTGTTTCGTGCGCACTGAGCTTCCCCGACGAGAAGAATTTGGGGGGCGCGACCCAAGTGAGCTGCCCCAACACAAAGTCTGAAGCGGGCTTGGCAAAGACGTTTGAGTTTGAGCGCGTGTTTGGCCCTGATAGCACACAGGAAGAAGTGTTCTTGGACACTGAGGCCATCATCACAAGCTGTGTTGATGGGTACAACGTCTGCCTCATTGCTTACGGGCAAACAGGTGCGTTCACATTTCAATCCGGTGTTGGTGCGACCCGATAATCCGATTTGGAGCCCGTGGCCCTTGTACGCTGGCAATGGCGCAATCTCAACCTTGGCTCTTGGTGCCGTTGTCATCTTCCGCCACTTGGCGATGCTAGGCTCGGGCAAGACATATACCATGGTAAGGCTGATTTGCCGCTTTCACTTGGGCCGACTATTTTGTCTTGTCAGGGCCGTGCAGGCTCGGCGCCATTTTTTTTTTAAATTTTTTTTTTTTATTGTAATGCATGCGTTTGCGTACGTGTGCGATCAATCATCATCGTCATCATCATCATCGTTGTTGTTGTTGTGCCCTCCCGATAGATGGGCACGCCAGAGAATCCTGGTGTGAACCGGCGCGCGGTTAAAGAGCTGATCCGCATCATGAGTGAGCGCGAGCACATTGAATACGAGATGCAGGTCTCGCTCATGGAGATTTACAACGAGAAGATCATTGACCTGCTCTCTACTGACGTGTCGGATAACAGTAAGTCAACACTCGAGGTTGGCGTTGAGGGCTTGGCTACAGCCGGGTGGGCTGCTGGCGTGTGCACTCGCTCGTTCAGCCTGTTGAGTCTCATTGGCCCGCAATACCAATGTTCTGTCCCGCGACACCTACCTTCAGAGTGCGACATTCGGCTCGATCCAAAGACCAAGCTGCCATTTGTCGCAGACCTGATCAAGCGACCGGTGAAAACAGAGGCGGAAGTGTTGCAAGCCTTGGCCGATGGCGACAACAACCGCCATGTCGCGTCGACCAAGATGAATTCGCACAGTTCGCGCTCCCATCTGCTGCTGCAAATTTATACCATGGGGCGTGACTCCGTGTCAGGGGAAATTACGCGTGGCAAGCTCACGCTTGTGGATCTGGCGGGCTCTGAACGCGTGGCCAAGACCGACGCGACTGGGCAACGCCTGGTGGAGGCCGCGGCCATTAATAAGAGCCTCTCCTCCCTGGGTCAAGTCTTTGGGAGCTTGCGCTCTGGCCAGGGCCACGTGCCGTATCGAAACTGCAAGCTGACCCACATTCTTGAAGATAGCTTGGGCGGTGATGCCAAGACCTGCGTCTTTGTGAACGTGAGCCCTGCTGATAGCAACCTGGCAGAGACTGTGGGCACGCTTCAATTTGGCACGGTATGTCGTATTGGCGTGCGCTGTTGCGCTTCGGGCTGTTGGGTTTGTCTCTTCGCGCCACACGTTCCCTGCTTTTGTGATTGTTGGTGCTCTGACTTTGCCAATTGCGGCGGGCCTGGTTTTCAAACGCAACGCCACAGTCTATCCGTCAGATTGAGCTCAATACCAACAAGAAGAAAAAAAGTGCCAAACGGTAGTGTGCTGCCACCGCCTGCCTGTGTTGGGTTGAGCCTTGTCCGCAGTGGGCAGAAATGGTCGCGACGTTCAATTTCTTTAATTATCACTGAGTCATCAAGCATAATGCTGAAATACCACCATGATTCCTCTTCTGCTCCCGCTTTTCATGTGCGCGTCCTTGAAGCCAGAGCAAGACCCAGGCAGGGAGGAGTCACTGCATCCGAGGGGGATACGAGGCACAACCCGCTTTTTCTTGACCATGTCCTTGCGAATGCGAGAGCTCAAAACGTGACGTTCTGGGACATGATGTGCATACATGCATTTGGATGCATGTGTGCATTTGATACATTTGACGAGAAAAAGTGATACAGTGAGGCTGGGGTCCGACCCAGGGGGGGTGCCGGGCGGAGCGCCAGGGCGAGGATTAGGCATTTGCGCAGGTAAGCCCACGATGTATGGAGGGGCTGGCCCGCCGAGCTTTGGAGCAGATGTCAGCGCATCAGACAACATGACTGCGCGCCAACGCTGCCCGGCTCTGCTGCACCCTTTGTGCGAGTGTGGAGCGCCAAACGAGCGCCCAGCACCATGGGGCTGGCGCTTGCTCGCGATTACCGCTCACCCTGGGCTTGCTAGCAGAGAAAACTCGTGTTGGGGGCGTGGTTTAGAGAAGCGAGAGAGAGAGAGAGAGAGTGGGGGAGGGGGACAAGAAGGAGGGGTGGATACCAAGGGAGTCGCTCCCTTCGCTTGGTTGAGGGACCCCCGCGCACGAACCACACGTCCTGAAACGATGATGGTAGGCGCACAAAAAAGCCGGTATCTTCAAGTCTTGGCGTTGTTGCTGTTCCAGCGCCACACGACATGGCCCACATTTGAGTGGGTTGCCCGCCCTCGGCCGGCTCCCCTTTCCCTTGCACGATGCAGAAAGGTGCAATGTGGTTTCAAGTCCAGCAGCAGAATAGCCCCTGCTTTTGGCGCATCGCCAATTTCGCCCTGGTGTGGCCGATGGCGACCGCTCGAATCAGCTCGTAGCCAGTCGTCCCATCCCATGTGGGGATCCTTACCATTGAGCACGCAGCGTACTATCTGCACTCGACACAATCGTGCGCTTCGTACGACCCAAGAAGACCAAGAAGGCCAAGTACGACCTCTAAACGGCTCATGAGATTGCTTGTGTCTAAGCAACACCCGCCCGACCTTGACACTCTTTTGATGTTCATGGCCAATCCCTGGGGTATCGCTTTCGCATCGGCTGCCCATCATGGATAAGCCTCAGAAGGGTATTGACGCTAGCTGTGGCCCCAGCATGAAGCGGGGTGGGGCAGAACCAACAAAAGAGTATGCATGGTGAATGAAGGAGCTGGATATCCCTGCAGCCAGGGATCGTCGTCACGCGCAAAACCCGCTTGAGGTGGGTTGGTGGTATCTTGCACAAGCACGCTTCAGGGGGGGGGCGGGGGGGGAGCGGGCGTTTGGTGAAGCCACTAGATCTTGGGTGTGCGACGCGTGCGTAAGAGACGGCAGTTTTCTGTCCTTTCCCTTTCCCGCTCCCTGTCCCTCTCTCTTGCCCTTGCGGGTTTCTCACAACGACTCATTCAGCCCTTTGTCCCTTATCGTCATCAACCAGCTCCTTGCTGGTGCGTCCGCAAGCGCAAGACACTCGAGCGAGCTGAGCAAGGACATTGATTGCCTTTGCACCGCCGCTTGTGCGCTACCATTCCATTGAACTAGCCAGCTCGACCCACACGCCTCGTGCACTCGCTGCGACAACAAAGGGTGTGGCAGCTCGTTGCCCCCTTCTGCCCCTCCTGCCGTTGGCCTCCCACCTGGGCTGCCTGCAGCCAGCCCAAGCTAGGGCCTCGCTACTTGTCGGGCCTATCCCAGCAGCACCCTCGCAAAGTTGGCCATCTTCTCCACGGCTCAGGCCAGAGCCCGATTACCACCGCAACAGACTTTTTTTTTGGGGGGGGGGTTCTATCGTCGCATCCACATCCCCACCAACGCTGTCCTGTGGCTACCGTCAAGGAGTGCCCTTGTGAGTCATCGACCCCTTCATTCGCAATGGCTGTGCCTGCAGCGACCATCGTCCAACCTACTTCTTCTTGTTCCTCCACCAAGCTCCCCATTTACGGTGACCGCGGGCAGACGGCCACCCCCGAGAAGAAACACTACTCGGAGAATCAGCTCACCTCACACCAAGTCAATCAAATTCTCCAGTCGTGTGAACACGAGTTCCGCGACCTGGATGCATATTCCTCCCTGGTCCACCTTTGCACTGCTTCCACCACCGCCGCTGCCGCCATTGCTGCTCATCCTGTTGATACTTCAGCCCTGACCGACACCCCCCGCTCTGCGTCACTGACTCAGTCATCCTCATCAGGCCCCATCATGCGGACCATGCAAGGCCTGGAGCTGCCTCGAGCCACTGCCGGTGCGACTACGGCTGCTCATCTTGCCGTTGAACCCAAGGCTTTGAGCACCAACGCCAGCAATAGCACCAATGCCCTCCCTTCCCTCGCGCAATCCCGTGAACCCTTGGCTGTCAGCCACGCCACCACGTCCACCACAACCAACGCTTTCCTGACACTAAACCCCGCGTGCGGCGCCGCCGACAATGCTTCCACTCCCTCCGCGTCAAACACCACCTCTGCGCTTGGTCAAGTCAGCCTTGGCCCCACCCAACTGCCCTCAGCCCCGGGCACATTGTCAAGCATGACTCCTACGCAGCTACAAGCGCGCACCTCCGAACCTGAATTGGCCGGCTTGTTGGCCTCGGGTCAGACGGACGCCTTGCTAGAGCAGGCCGCTCCCGACTTTAGCGCCCTCTGCCAGTGGATGGACATTCATCTCTCGCCGCGCCGCTCCGCCAGTGAGGCCGAAAGCACCGGGGCCGACTCCCCGTCCAAGCGCCATAAGAACCACCCCTCTACAACGCTCGACTTTTCGACTGGGTCTCGTCTATCACTCACGGAGCGCAGCCCGTCGCCTACCAGACCCTGGTCGGCTTTTTATGCCCAGAACTCAGAGCAGAATCAGACCCTGGTGACGCAGTCTCAGCCACGACACCAAGACCACCAGCGGCAAGCATACCCAGGATCCACGCAAGGCCCAGTTGTCCAGCTTCATGGCAGCCCACATCGTCCATCACCCGTGCCTCCACCCGTCTTTGCCCCCCCTGTCGACATGAGTCCTGCTCGAGGCAATCGTTCAACAAGCTTGGGCGGCAACAACAGCCCTCAAATCGTACACTCGCGCGAGTACGTTGCCTCTTCCCCCCGCTCCCCCGCTCGGTCCCGTCCTCTTGCTTGAACAGGTTGATTATCACTCACTAAATTCCTGGCATGTCTTTTGCATAGGTTGGCACCGTCCCAGCTGCAGCATCTTCCCACAAGCCAGCCGTGGTCAGCACCAGCCCGCGTGCACATGCACCATAGCAGTCCCATGCTGCTGCATGACGGGTCCATGACGCCAGAGCGCCACGTCCCTCGCTGCTTGTCATCCGTGGAATTGGAGCCCTTCCACCCGGCCAGCTCCCTTTCCTCGGCCTATGGCCACGCCTCACCCGTGCAGCCTGGCAGCCACCCTGACATGATTGACATTCTCATCATGGCCGACCAGCAAACCTGTCGCGTGACTTTTATGACCAACGATAACAACGACGCAGTCGACCGTGCCATCGCCGTGGCGGTTGGCCGACGCCCTGGTGCGTACATTTTGTCGTGCGGTTCTGGCTGACATGCCTCCATCAGATGCCGTGCTCCAGCGAGACCTTGCTGTTCATACTCGTTGCCTAAAGCGGCCGGTCCTATGCTCATCGTTACTTTTGTGCGTATGGTGTGTGCGTGCGTATAATTGTGCGCGTTTAGGAACTTTTGGCCTGCGTGACGACCAGGGTTCTGTTGCCATTTCTGCGCCCGTACTGCAATTTCGCGGCGGCCCCTTTGAACTGATCGATTTCGAGGGTGATGGTGTGTCTCCTGTTCCTGTTGTGCAATCTCTCGTCGTTGGTGGCAGAGAGTGTGCTTGAAGTCGCTGCCAATCTCACGTCGCATGTGCTTGCCCTCCCTGTCTCTCGCTCCTGTCGGCCTGTTTGTTTTGCAGGACGCTCGCTGTCCAGGCTTGGCTCGCCCCATACCCCACTGCGCCATCGCCTGACCGCTTCCTCAGCAGAGGGATTGCGGGCTCCACGCATGGAGGACATGTTGGGCTCACCAATGTCCACGCGCTTGTCCAGCGAGCTGTCTTCGTTGGGCTCGGAAGGCGGGTCCCACATTCAGATTGTGCCGCCAACCGCGGCCCGCCTTGCCGCTCTCAACAGCGAAAACGCGGCGCTGCACATACCGGCAAGCGTGTCCAGCTTTGCAGCCACGCCAGTAGATGCAGCGGTAGCGACATCCCGTAGCAATGACGCTCTTTCCAAAGAAGAGGCCAAGGGCATCATTCATGCTGTCGACGCTCGTCTCGAGCAGCTGGGCCTGTGCAGTCAGCGTCAAAAGACTTGTTTCCTGACACTGATTGGTACGTGCACAAGCTTTTGCACTTTGCGTGCCCTCCCTCGGTCAACCAACAGTGGCCTGCCAGTGCTGGCTCTCCTCTGTCACCATTCATGTTGCACTGAACGAACGAACGAACGAACGAACGACCAAACGACTAGGTGTCAAGATCTCGCAGCAGCATTATAGCACCATCATCAAATGCTTCAAGCGTGACGCTTGGACCGGCGGAATTCGGGCTAGCTTTTCTTTGCGCAAAATGCGAGTGTGCGTGTTGGACATGAGCGACGTACGTGTCGGGCAACATGGGTCTGCTTGCGTTACGCGATGTGATTCGAGAGCTCATTTTTGTTTCTCTTGGTTCTTTTGGCTACCTTTGGTGCCTGGTGGGCTGCTTCGGGTATGCTGATAGGAGGAGTGGATGTCCATGAAGCGCTATCTGCCTCAGGTGCATGCTGAGCTTCAACGTCGCCGCGAGTTTAAGCGCCAGATGCGCGAGCAACAGCGAGCAGCGGTATGTCATCTCACCCGGAGGCAGATCACGCTTTGATTGTTGCCATATCGATCTTACGCGCATGCCTTTTGCCAGCTCGCGCAGGAGGAGGTTGCTCTGGCAGCCAATCAAGAGCTCATGGCTGCAGACTTCTCCGATTGAGTATTCTGTGATCATGCGAATGTTTTGACTATCGCAAACTTGTACCTTTTCTTTTTCTTTTGCTGAACAGTCTCTCCAGCCCACTTGTGCGCAAGAACTATTTTAAGCCTGTGGGTACTGGGATATTTGATCTATACACAGCTGCTACGTGCGGCCTACTTGTCGAACGCCCTGGTCGTGCCTGTGTGATGGCCTCATTTCTATCTATTCCCCCATTCGTCTACCTTGTTTTTATCCTGCTTGTTCGTCGTTGTTTCTTTTCGTTTGTTTGTGTGATCAACCACTGTGTGGGCGGGGCAGCACACGAGGGTGCTGCCCGGCGCTTAGTTTTCAGACGCATCGGTGCGCGCTTGGTTGCATAGCCCTTGAGCGGCATGCAACATGGACGCAGCTAGTGTGACTCCTTCGACCAGCTTAGACCCTCTGTGTTTCTTCTTCGTTCTTGTGTGCTTGTGTGCTTTTCCTCTTTCTTTCTAGTGTCATGTTTGTCAAAGCCTCTCTTAGGTTGAACAGCCGATGGCAAACAGACAATGTGCCCTCTCACGCCAACCCCGTGCTTGCCCCCGCCATCCCTACTCCCCAATTGATACATCCGCCTCACGCCTCCTTCCAAACTTCCCCCGAGTCAAAGAACGAGGAGTCAAATTAAATTTACATCGATGTTAAAAAAAATAGACTGACAAGTGGTAGCATATCCATTTGATCAACCAGTCGTTGTGTAGTGCAAGCAAGCTCTTCCTCTTTGTGCTTGTCGCCGTTTCCTCTCTCTCTCTGTGTGTGTCTCTCTCTGTCGCTTGGTGAGTGACCAGGCGGCGGAAGAGGGAGGGCGCTTCTCCTTCGGGGGCGCAGGGTTTGACCAGCGTGTGTGGAACGTCTGGAGACGTGATCTGCCTGGTTCTGGTGGATGTGACACTGCACATTTGTAGTTGTAGAGGCTGAGCACAGGTGCGCGATTTGTGAAAGGTGGAATGCAGCGCCAGGCGCGCCAGGCGCGTCAGGCTCGCCATGTCGGCGAGATGAAGCGTTCAGCCAACGGGCGCAACACCGGCGGCGCTTGGCCTGCCAAGCGTGTCTTGACGGCCGATACCATTGACATCCAGCTGCTGAACCAGCTATTGGCGCAACCACGCTCTAGCTGGGATATCAGGCTGCCACAGCCCCTGAGTGCGCAGCAACAGGGAGACCAAGCGCAGCAAGGCTGGCAGGTGGATCAGGCCCAGCATCAGCTTGCCCCTGCTCATCCAATCCCAATGGCGCCGCCAGTCCATGCCCGTCATTCCCCACAGCATCGTGCCTCGCTTGCGGCACCGCCTTCTGCACAGCCCAAGGCAGCCGCCAACTCTCGCTCCTCCACTTCAACACCTGCTCGCGCAACACCCAGCGCCGCAGCCGCGGCCACCCCCCATGGTGGGCGCGGCTCCAATTCATCCGTCAAGTCGCGGCGCAAGAGCGACGTGGGTACCATACTGCGCCCCCCAACTCCTCCCAAGGATCCAGACAGTGGAGAACATGTCAATCCCAAAGATCATCTCCAATGTCTTGAAACCGCGCTCGCCACCCTGGACAAGGTCATCGCCGAGAGGGAGCTGGTGGACGATGATTCCCTCAACGTGGTTTATTTCGCCGGTGAACCAGGACCACCCTCCTGCCGCAAGGCCTGGACCGTGGAATATGGGCCAGAAGACAAAGACAAGCTCCGTGTTGGACCCTCCATCCGAGCCGTCCCTCGGGCTACATCCAAAAAGGCGGCGCGAGATGTCCTTGACGAGCTCTGCCGATGGGGTCTTCACACCTCCGAAGCCACAAGCATGGTGGTGGAAGGGTTCGCCGACTTGCTGCACATATCCAAGGACAAGTTTACTGCTGAGAACTTGGCTCGGATTGACCCGAACGCCAACGTTGACACGTATACACATTCTTTCAACGCCAACGCCCCTGAAGCCAATCTCGAGAATGGCCAGACATCCTGGCGCTTCACCAGTGGTCCAGTCACGCCCATGCCGCTCAAGGAGTATGCTCGCTACCAGCGAACATTCCGTCCAAAACCTGACGCTGATGGCACCGTGGTTAGTGTTTGCCCAGCCTTCACTTGCAGTTGAGATTTGCGTTCTTCTAGCTCACCGCGTTTAAACCCTCGGCTTAGGAGGTCAAGTTTGCGACAAACCTCGATCTGCAGGGTGGATTGATGTGGGATAACCTGCTGAATGAGCTCCACCAACGCCTTCCCGAGTCCTTGCTCTGGGACGGTCCCGAATCATTGCTGTCCATGTTGGACCATCCCGTGCCGGGTCTCTCAAGTATGTTGGTTGACACAAAACGCTCGCCCTTGTAGTTTCCGCTCCTGCTGCTGTGAAAGCCTTTGGCCCTCATAGCTTTTCTCATGCAATTTTCCGCGGCCATCATCGCCTGCCAGCTGTGCAATGCCTTTTCTCGGTAGAGGGCTGTCGCAAGCCGGGACACCAGGAAAACAATTGCTTGGCCGTTGTCAACCTGAACCTTGGTCCGTCAGCCTGCACGTGGTGGGTGGTAGATGGGCATCACGAGCCTGAAATTCAGCGAATGTGCCAGCAGCGAAAGCTGGAGGCGTGGTGGCCCGACGTGGACGAGCTTTTGGCTGCAGGCATCTCTGTACAGCGTTTTGAGCAGCCACCAGGTGCCCTCGTGCTCACCAACCCAGCCTGCATAACGTGGACGCAAAGCTCGGGGCGCAGTCACGCCGTGACCTGGAACCTGGCCATTCCAACAGCCCACCAGCTGCGCCAGGCTTGGGAGGCCTACGACCGCCACAGCAAACAAAATTCTCTGTCCATCGTCCCCATGAAGCAGCTGTTGTTCACAATGACCTCGACGTATGCCAAATTCGCACCGGGCCTCCAGCAAGCCTTGCAAGATTGCTGGCGGGAAGCGCTCAACGACGAGGTGGAGGTTTGCCGACAAGGCGTGCGTGGCCGAGCGTTGCGCTGCCAGTTTTTTAGTGTGCCCACTGAGCAGGCTGCACTTCACTGCGTCTCATGCAATGCGGAACTTTTCAACTTTCTGTTCCTCAAGCCTTACCACGACCGACATCGCACCCTTTGCTGGCGCTGTCGCAACAAGGCAGCACGCCGTGGTGCGCACGGTGATCATTGGCTACGTCTGGTGTACTTTCGCCATGACCCAGAGGTCTTCAACGAAAGGATCAAGGCGTGGTAAACAGCTGACAAAGCTCCACCCAGTTTCTCAACCAAAAGCTCATCGCTTCGTGTTGACGGCTGTCACTCTTGGACCCTATCCCATCCTCGTCGACCCGCCATGTCCCTGCGCTTACCGTTGACCTTCTGTCAGCACTGAGAGAATAACTTGTCGCGTTTTGATCAAGTAAGCGGCGCTGGACAGAGACGACGCTCTGGCTGGCACCGAGCCAACAGACGCTTCTCTCTGCCATGCTTTGCCATTGCGCATACTGCGTGGCGAGTTGGCGGGACACATTTTTCACGCATCCTGGTTCAACTTTTGTTCTTCATCAATTTGAATTCTGTCATAAACTGTCTTCGTTCAGCGTCACCACGCAGTCGACGCGCGCGCAAAAAAAAAAGCAAAAAGCACAAACAACATGCTGGCTGCGCTTTTCAAGAATTTGTCATCCTCGGTGTGACGGGCTTTGTTCACATCGCCTGTGTGGCATAAAACTCAACCTGAGGTTCAAGATCCGTAGCCGAATCATTCGAAGCGTCTAGTAGTGTCTCCCCGGGCTGCATGCCTGCTGGTTCGACAGGCTCTGGCAATGCCTCACCCATGTGTGCCTGGTGCAGATTGCCATGTGTCTGTGGGTGCGCATCGGCCGGTGAAGCGGGCTGGGAATCAGGCCGTAATGATGCGGCTTGCATTAGGGGAGGTGAGGCTGCAGGGCTTAGACGCGGCCGCTTGGGGTGAGGGCTCATGCTGGGCGGCGGTGAGTCGGGCAGCAGCACAGGCCGTCGAGGGGACGGCGTCGAGCCAGAGTTGGTGTTGGGAATATAGGGTGGGGAGTGCATGGGTTGTGCTGGGCATGATCGAAACATGTCCGGGGAGCGCACGGCAACGGGTGCGGTGGCGGCGCGTCGATAGGAGCGCTTGGCTGGATTGACCACTTCGGGCGACGAAGGTGGTGTGGGAGAGCTTGCTAGGGACGCCGTGGCTGAGTTGGCTCGGTTGGATGGTGGTCGAAGCACGCGTACGGGCGCGCTTGGCGGGAGACCCAGCCAAGCTGCCGCTGCAAGATGAGTGTGTTGATGAAAGGTGGAACTTGCGGCGTTGTTTGAATGCCTGGCGCTGGGTTCAAAGGTGTTTAAAGCAGCCAAGAGCTGGATTGCCATGGGTCGCAAAGAGGAGTGAGACTCAAGTGATCCACGCGGGCAACTAGTCCACCAAGCATGCGCTCAAACCTGAGGGATTAAGGGTTCAGGGAGGCAGGTATCTGCCAACTCGAGGAAGGCATGTACGGCCAGAATGCAGTCAGATCGTTGTATCATCTCCACGCTATGCACAAACGGCAGTGGAGGTGAAAGACGTGAGGAATGCGCACCGCCTCGTGCGATGCAGGTGTCAGCTGGGTAGCTGACCGATTGTTGGAGTCAAAGACCACAGGACGTAGCTCATGACGGACGGTGAGGTTTCGTTCGTGCAGCTCTTGCCAGGCCAAAGGTGCTCCCGGCTCTAAGGGTCGGGCACAATCAAAGTGCGTGTGCGTGTGCGTGTGCGTGTCAAAGCGACTGGATTCAAAGGCTTGCTCTGCGCGCACCTGGGTCGGCCCGAGGGAAGAGCCGGTTGAGGAGAGCTAGTCGAGTCAGACGAGCTGGAGTGTCTTGGAGTTGGGTCAAAAAGTCCTATCGTTCAGGCAGGAGGTGGGTTGTGAGCTAGTTGTGAACGGCTGTGATGGCGGTAAGACACGGGCGACGTCCTTGCACACAACGACGAAATGAGATTGAGGAAGTGAAACAGCGCTAGCTAGGCCTCTGGAGAAAGAGCGGCGCTGAGAACCTACACAGGAGCGCAAGGTAATGCTCGCTTTGATCAAAGCCACGTCCAGAGGCGAGAGCCGGGCCTCGGTTCCCGAGTGAGGTTTCATGGCAGGAGGCCCCTCGATCAAATCATGGTCCATGCCGTGAGCGCGTTCGGTTTCATCTGGCGTGCGACTGTGATACCATTCGATCAGGCCTCTGAAGTACCACGCAGGGCCCGACAAGTTGGGGATGAGTCTAATCATGGAACGTGCAGAGCATGTCTCGATGCTAGACCCACCGATGACACTGAAGCAGGAGACGATGGCATAGATCCAAGGACACGGTTGAATCCTGAACCATGTCACGGAGAGTTGTAATCCAGAGCCGCAGGCTCAGCAAAGGTTCAGCCAAGTCAGCCGGCTCCTCTTTCGACTTGGTCTGAAGCATGCCTACACGCGCGCATGTGGTCGACCCATGAGCTGGGTTGTCGTTACGTTACACCCATCTATCTTCCCATGAGAATGGCGTTAGCTCCAATGCTACCTCCCGACCCCAACTCTACCAAGACCAAAGGCCTCCTACCAACAAAGACATGCCGGAGATCGGCGGCCAGCGCCCAGGAGAGGATGTGCTGCCGTAAGCGGCGGTGCACCAACGTCTCCATCCTGTAACGGCTCGCTTCTCTCCTTAGCACATAAGTAAAATACTTCATAGACCTTTGTAAGAAGAAGACGAGTAAGAAGAAGAAGAAGAATTGGCAGTAAACGTTGATACAAATACACATCGCATATAAGTAAATGCAGATAAAATGAAAGAAAAAGTAGAAGAACACGTAGAAAACGCTGACACATGTCTTCCACACACACTCTCGCGCACATTTTTTTGTTGTTGAACACAAACAGAGAGAGAGAGAGACTGACACACACACACACACGCCGCTCTCTCTGTGTGTGTGGGTGTGAACGTGAGCTGTTTGAATGCTATCGCTGCTGCTGCTGCTGTCGCTGCTGCTGTCTGGTGTCTGGGGTTGGAAGCGAGCTCGGGTGGTGTAGGGCTTTGGTCAACTGGAGGGGGTTTGTGAGACCTTTGGACGGTTGACCCTCCCTGCTTGTGCCGCACCACCCGCGCGGGCGACAACCCTTTTGTCAAGTTTCTTTCTTTGTGCTGTTTGGAGACGTTTGGTGTTTCTCTGGGTGTGTGTGTGTGTGTGCGCGCGCGCTCACGCCCGGGCCTGCGACGCTTGTTAGTGTCAGGCACCAGAACGCACCCCACTTGATTTCAGGTCGCGCAGCGTTTTGGTTTTTGAAAGCGCCTGGCTTTCTGCATGGGTATTCGCCTTGCAGCGTCTCGTGCCTTGGTCAAATTTTGCTTGTCAGGCCCGGCTTTTCCGGTGGACTCGACTCTCCGCATCCCAAATCACCGACCACCGGCGTCATGAAGTTTGGCCGTGACATTGTCCAGCACTCTGTGCCCGAGTGGGAGCCCGGCTATGTCAATTACAAGCATCTGAAGAAACGGCTCAAGGCTGTTCGACAAAAATACCCGCTGCATGAGATTAACCTTCATCCGGGCCTCCTGGCCTCGCGCGAGATGCAGCAAGCCCGTCTCATTGTGGATGCCATGAGACCATCCGCCTTTGGTAACGAAGCATCAGAGGTAACCGGTCTTCGCTATTCCTTCTTGGAACGCGAGCGCCTCCGCAAAGTTCGCGACTCCAAGGAAGAGCACGCCTTTCTTGTGGCCCTGGAGAAGGAGTTGTCCAAGGTCAACCGCTTCTTCAGCCAGCGCTGGGAAGAAATGCAACGTCAGCGCGAAAGCCTGGACCTTCAGCTTCTGGCTTTTTACGTGACTCACGCCCCACCCGGACAGGTGGAACAAGTCATCATGCTCCTACAACAACGTCTGGGCCGCGAAAGCGTACTCACGTCACATCAGCTCATGACTGGGGACACCGTGCGTAATCTTCAAGGCTCAGCCCAATTGCGCCGCCGCTTTCGTCGCCGCATCTCAGCCAGCGACCAAGAGTCTGAGCTGCAGTCTGACACGGCCCGTTTGAAAGAAGCCTTCAAAGAGTTTTATCGACTCTTGGACATGTTGACGTCCTACCAGCACCTGAACCGCATGGCCTTTGAGAAGGCTCTGAAGAAGCACGACAAATACACTGGTCTCTACCTACGCCAACAATACATGGCCAAGGTCTGTCTGTCAGCCCTTCACCCCGTTCCCTCGTGCCCCTACCCTTTCGTGCCTTGGTTTTAATCTCTGTCTCTCCGTCCATCTCTCCGCCCGTCTCTCTCCGCTCTCTTGTGATTAAACCCATGCAGGTGGAGAAGGCCAAGTTTTGGACCACCAACATTGAGTCTTTGATGAAACGCGTGGAGCAAGAATACACCGAGTGCCTGGCCGAGGGCGACCGTCATCAAGCCATGAAGCAGTTGCGCGTGCCACACGACACGTTTTATCCTTTTGACTGGACCATGTTCCGCCTCGGTTCCTGGGCCATGTTTTTCTTCTGCAGCTGCCTTGTAATCCTCATCGCTGCCCTCCGAGCGCGGCAAGGCTTTTATCCGGCTCCCGAGGCCCACTTTACCATGTTCCGTGGCCAGCTCTACCCCACCATCATGACCGCGCTCATCGCCGTCAATATTTATGTGTGGAAGAAAGTGCGCATCAATTACCTGCTTATTTTTGGCCTGGACCACCGCGACTACACCAACCATATACAGCTGATGGAACAAGCTGGCTTCCTAGCGTCTGTGTGGTCCGTCGGCGTCCTCCTTTATCTCTTTTCCAAGCCTGCTCCAACCATCCCTAGCCCCTACCTACCCATCACACTGCTCGCTATTCTCCTGGTCTTGATGATGGCTCCGCTCGGAACAACCAGCCGCCGTGCCAATAAATGGGCCGCACGTACCATTGGTCGCATGGTGGCTGCGCCCTTCTTCGCGGTGCGGTTTGAAGACTTCTGGCTGGCGGATCAGCTCAACAGCGTGGTCATTTTCCTGTTGGATCTACAATATACCTTTTGCTACGTCACCTACGGGCAGTTTCGTGACAGCGGCAACGCAACCTGCCGCTCCAATCGTGGTGTTCTGCGCCCCATTCTTGCCGCACTACCCGCCTGGATTCGTTTCGCGCAGTGCATCCGTCGTTACCGCGACACCAAAAAGGCTCACCATCTCACCAACGCCGGCAAGTACTTCTCCTCCATGTTTGTGACGGTCATGAGCTCGTGGACGAGTGCGCAGCGCGAGCACGGCGGTGAAGTGGGCACCGACGACTACGTCACCGCTCTTTTCAGCGTGTGGATGGTGGCCGCCGTTGTGTCCACCTGCTATAGCCTCTACTGGGACTTGACCCATGATTGGGGTCTCTTCCCCAAGGATCCTCACCCCAAATACCGCTTCCTGCGCAAGCGCCTTCTCTACGATCCCAAATTATATTACATTGCCATTGCCCTCGATACAGTGCTTCGCTTTCTCTGGACGCTCAGCGTCAGCGTTGGCTTTTTCGGAAGCTTTTTTTCCGATGGCCTCGTTGCCATTCTTGCTCTGAGTGAAATGTTTCGCCGCTTCATGTGGAACTTTTTCCGGCTGGAAAACGAGCACCTGTACAACTGCGGCGAGTTTCGCGTCACGCGCGTGGTTGACCTTCCCTTTTCTTACGACGACGACGACGATGATGACGTTCACGTCGAGTCAGTGTCAATGCCAGAATCCGACCACGAAGATGGGTCAGACATTGTCGTTTTGGACATTGTCCCGGATTTACCTTCCTTGGAGCGCTCAACGCTCAGTTGAGATCTTCTCTATGCTTCACGTCAACAAGGAGCTCGAGTCTGTGCTGTGGTCACCTACCTCGCCTTTGGCGGCTTTTTCGCCAATAGCGTGCTTTCTGACTGGCCCTGTCTTAGCCTCCCATTTTGTGAATAATTGCCCTTGTTGCCTAGCTTCTTCCTCGCCGCCTTCTGCCGACCTGCATAATAATCCTTCCGAGTATCACTCTCTTTGCTCTTATGGTCCGACACGCAAAGTTTTGATCGGCCTGTCATTCTGTTGTTCTTCTCATGTCAAGCCATATTTGACTTTCGCACTTTTCATTTGGGTGACGTGACGATGCCGGCGATAGCCGGAAAACAAACTGCCTGCTCACCACCAGCGTAGAATTGTAAAACAAAGAAGAAGAAGAAAAAAAAAGAAGACTCGTCACGCGTTTTGGGGAGCGCAAGAAAAAGTTCGATTCCAAGACTAAAGGGGAGGGTTCTTGTCGAGCATCATCACGAAAGACTAATCAATAGGACTCAACAGAGTTTGCGTGTGTGCGTGTGTGTGTGTGTGTGTGTGTGTGTGTGTGTGAAGGATGGTTTGGTCAGAATAATCATTTACAACTGCTATGCATACAATGCCATGTGAATAAAACACCGAAGGGTTCCTTGTCTCAGCTGACATCGGCCGGGGGATGTGGAAGGCTCGTCAAGAAAACAAGCGCAAAAGGGTCATTCGGGCGGCCCCGCAAAGTCATCTGCAGCTGGCTCTTGAGCTCATCTGGCTGGCATACAGGCAGAGAAACTTCCAGCCCGTGTAGCATGTGCGCCAGAAGCGGCCACTTTACAATGACACCCGTAAAGGACTTGGCGTCCAAAGTTGTGGCATTCCAGCGCAAACCGTGCGTACGCGACGTTGGGCCCGACGAACTTGCAATGGGCGGTGATTGCAACACGGCATCAAAGCCCTGCCCGGGAGTCCGGTTAAAGGATTTAAGCGATTGTGGGTCCTCGCAGTTATCCAGGCGAAATCGATACAGGGCATCCGAGTGGTCACGATATCGGCGCGTTGGCGCATCGTCCGTGGCATACAAGCAGTCGTGCGAGCACAGCAGCTGTGCCAATGCCTGAAAGGAGAATGTGTGCTGGCATGAGCAATGGCAGGCAGACCGTTTGCTTGACGACGACATTCTTTTGTGAGAATCAAAAGCAGACTGTGACACAGACCAGGGCTTGAGGTCGAGACGTGATATCGGGTGGCAGGTTGGGCCGACGAGCCACGCGCACAACCAGATCACCGAGTCTATACCGACGGCGCCAGCACCACGGGTGCAAAAGGGTGCAAAGACCAACGGGACACGCGGCTATGAGGATCGAGGCAAGGCGTGTCGATCGAGCGTGGAGCATTGCCAGGCAACTTGGAGTGTTCGGTCACATGGCACGCACTTGAGGTCGGGAAACTTCTCAGCTACTGGATCTGTAAAAGCCGTCGGCGTAGAAAACATCTGCAATATGTCTTCGATTTGACACATGCGAATGTCCTGCACAAGACATGACGCAGAGCAGCACGGCAGTTGAGAACCCTGATCGCGAGTCGAATACAAGAAAGTGGGCGACAGCTTCTCAATCCCCGCCTCACTAGCTATAAATCTGATGGAACGAAGAGCCAAGCCACAGCATTCAGGCACAAATCTGGATTGGCGGTTGCTACTCACTCGACCATTAAGACCAACAAGGATATCCCCGGCAAGTACGCCTGCCTGTGCAGCCATGCTGCCTTCCCGCACGTGCGTGACTTGCCGCCCATCCAGCACCAGCCCAAAGGTCTAACATGAAGCCAGCGACAGTCAGATGATCACTGAAGCACACATCCCATTCGAGCACCACCCGAGCCGTACCGATTCTTGTGCCCGCTCAAGGGAAAGAAGAGGAAAATCCTGTTGTGGCAGGCTGTCCTCATTCATATCTTTGAAAAGCAGCCCTCCAAAGCGTCCATGCTCTTGAATCCAGGAAACCAGATCCCTAACACGCCAAGTGTTGCAACGGCAAGATCACGTGTGAGGTTCCAACCCGTACTTGGTCTCGGACAATCGGCACCAGTGCAGTTGGCTGGGGTCGTACGGGCCGCGTAAACAGAGCTCGTTGACAAAGAAGAGGCCGCGCGAGCGAAGAAGGCCATCAGCCAAGAGAATATCCCGCAGCAAGGCCACCACGACATTGAGAGCCGAAACGACGTATTCCGCATGAATCAAAGCCTGCATGGGCACGTGGTCAAGGAAGGAAAAAAACACAAAAAAAAATGAGCGCATCTCCCTCGCGCATTCACGGTCCATCTGATAGAAGCCACGAAGCGTTTGCAGACATTTCAACGAACTTGGGCTGGACTAGAATATGAAGCGCATTCAAACTCCTTGGCACAGAGCGCCAGACATGCTACAATCGTTCGACTGGCCAGGCCGACAGTGCGCTCGGAAGCGGGCCGCTAATAAACCGTCAGGATCAACGCCACGCAGGCGTGCGAGCATAGTCATTCGTGAGCTGCTTGAAGCATGCACAAAGCTTGCCTTAACCTTACTTCCACGGGCAAACAAAACAGGACTTCAATCCTTGGACAAAAGTGAAAGCAGGACGGGTGCGTTTGGAGAGAGGGGGGGGAGGGGGTGTGCTGGTGCTGAGACTGACCTGGCTAAAAGCTTGCAGCAGAGCTAGCGGGGAGAACAGCCCTGGCAAAGTTGGACTTGCCCAAAAGAGCGAGTTGCCGAGCGTGTTCTCGCCAATACCCACCGCCAGGCCAAGTTGATACACGGAGAGACGCTGAAACACGGCCAAGAGAGTGGGTGTTTGCAGCTTCAAGAGCCACAGGATAATGACCACGTTGCTGGTTGATGCTTTGAGCTCCTCAAGAGGACAGAGCTTGGGCTCAATCCGAGCAAAAAATTCCAATATATGCTCTACAGCATCATGCAAAATGACAGCGTGTTGCTGCATGACGGCGAACACGGCACTCGGTTCGAGAGATTCGCCGCGCATGAGCGCATCAATGGTTCGGCGCCACAGGCGCTGAGGAGAGGGGATCGGGATTGCGTCAGGGTGAGTGAGCAGGAAGAGAACGAAAGGCAGGGTAATAGCGCGCAAGACTCGCGCCCACCTTTAGAAAAAGCTGGTAGGCAGCTGGACTGCAATACATGCGAAAGTCTTCCAGCTGTGCCTCCAGGTACCTGTATGCATGCGGTCGCCAGGACCAGCATAGTCGCATTTGTCAGCACAAGAAGATTGCAAACACACTGCAACATTGAGCGAGATCCTTGACGGTTCGGGCCAGATGCTAATCACGTACCGGGTGATGGGACGCCAGCGATCAGCGGTTGAAAGCGCTTTGAGGGTGGTGTTCAACAGCAAAATGCGAAACGCCCCATAGAGGTACGTTGTTGTGCGTTCCAAGAGAATGCCAGCCAAATAGTTGACAATGCCGTCCAAGTAGCGGTGAACTGCAACAGGCGTGATTTGGATGCGACGGCCATACGACCATGAGACAAGGGACGAAAGAAACCAACGCAACTCAAAATCGTGGCCAAAAGAACACCATGACATCGACCTACTGCTGTCATCCTCCAATGTGAATGAGATTTCACCTGCCATAGCACACAAGGGCCAAAGCACAATGAAATGGGTTCGAGAGGTGATTTCACTCTCAGGGAGTTGATCATGGATCAACAACAAACGGAGCAGGTTGGGACGGGCGAGAGAACGTACGATCCTTGAGCAGCTGGGCGAATCGAGCATCAAAGTGCCGCATCAGGCGTTGACATGCACACAGCGTGGACAAACGTGCGCACGCGTTTGGATCCACGGCATACATCTGCACAGGACCCAAAAGATCCATGGCATACTGCAGGGCACTGTTTGGAAATGTGCCATATCTGAGTGGTATCAATGTCATGTGCAATGGCAGAGCGGAAAGGTTGGTAAGCATGACTCGAAAATCACAGCTGGAAACACTCAGGCATCATAGCGGATAAGCAAAGGATGACACGTACAGCGCAACGGCCTGGAAGAATGTCGAGGCCTGCATCATGGCGGGCCCAGCAAGCTGCTCTGCTGACAGGCGAACCATGCGCTGACTGGAAGCATCGCTCTCCCCATCTGCCAATCGAACAGAGACATCAGGCATCACTTGATGTAGCCCCATTTGTCCCGGTAGAGATTTGGTCAGCAGCTCAGAGGTGGTGGAATGAGCGCCGTCTCCGCCAAAAGCGCTGTCAATATCTGACAGATGCGGCGAGGCTGGGCGGGTTGTGGCAGCGGATCGCGGAAGTGGGCCGCCATGCCGTTGCGTGCTCACGTAGCCCGTGTCCTCTGAGCTGACACCACCACGTCGCTTGATGCTCGGGCGTTCACGGCGTGTTGGGGGCTGGTCCCGGCTGCGTTGACCGAAAAAGCGCTGTTGCGCACGTGGTGATCGCATGGGCGAGGTCGTGTTGCTGCTGAAGGGCTCGCTGCCCACACCATCTCGTGCAGAGGCATAGAGGTCCAGGTCACTCAGATCTTTGGCGAGACCATTGTTGTCAGCAAGCGAAGCCCGGCCAGTGCCAGGCGCGCTTGCTTCTTGAGCCTGGAGTCGACACCGCCGTCGCTCCACGAGGGGACGTGCCAGATCCAATAGTGGCGTTTCACCGCGGTCAATGGCTTCGCCAGGCAGCTCCTGCCACACCTCGAGGTTTGTGCTGGCTCGCTCACCAGCTTGGCTTGTATCAGGGCTGGACTTGTGCAAACCAAAGTCGTAGGCAGTGGCTTTGTTGTGTGGATGATCAAAGACGAACCAGGTGGTGCGTTGGCCTGCAAAGGAAAGGTCAGGAAGCTGGCGATCATCGTTGGCGTTGACGCGGATATTAAAGTCCTCATTCAGGTCAGCCTCGAGGCATTTGGCAATGTGCACATAGTCGATGGACAGCAGCAGGAGCATGTAGTTGCGGACAAGCTCGCCGGCGGCCATGTTCAGCTGACGAGCCATGACGGCGGCTTGAGAAGTCGAGAAGAGCTCGCAGAGAGACATGCCAGCACGCAGGAGGGCACTGACAGCATGGGTCAGGTCCAGGCCTGAGGCCAGGAGGTCAACCGAGGCGCGCAGGTCAAAGACGCGAACAAAGCTTTCATTGGCGCGAAAGCATGTGGCCAACGTCTGCTCGGAGTGCACTTGGATGCGGCCAAGCCATCGAATGATGAGCGGTTCAAAAATAGCTTCGGTACGCTCGATATCTTCCAACCTTGTGCTGGAAGAGATTCCACGCAAAAAGGATGCTGTCTGCGCAAGCAATCCCACCAAGCGCGCATCAATAAAGTCTGAATGATCAAAAGCCGTGACACTGGTCTGATGGGAGTGCATGAGCTCGTGGAATTGCCAAAGATAAACCTGAGGGGCGCGATGCGCCCAGTCGTAGGCTGGCCACCAAGCAGACCACTGCTGCACAAGTTGATGCAGATCAGGGCCCAGCATGGCCAAGAGCTGTTGTAGATGCTGTCCTGAGACCTGGTGCAGCTCGACCAAGCGCTGCGAACGGCGTCGTCCTTCAAAGTGGTCTCGAGGGGGCTGGTCCACTAACGACGAAGCAGTTTCAGGCACTGCTGCAGCCACTACAGAGGCAGCAGCGGCGGCGGCGGCGGTTGTGACGGCTGCTGGGGGCCCGCTCGTGGGGCCAAAGCTGTCTGTTCGCTCGCGGCCCGTCACACTGCCGTTGCCTATCGTGGGGGATCCATAAGCAGGACTGGCTGCCGGTGGGGCACGAAGGCGGTGCCGGCTCTCTGAGAGCGAACCTGGCACGGCAGCTCGTAGCGGGCCGTCGCTGCTCAACGTAGCTGAAGCGGACATAACGTCAAGGCCATGAACGGCATTGAGCAAGCGCTGAAAGCGGTGCTGCATTGCTGCATCCAGAGCCTGAGCGACCTGCTCTGTCAGTTCAAGCGTCGCTGGCGCAACGGATTCGCCGCTCGCACTGGTCATCTGCAGAGGCGTCCAGGAGTGATGTGCCAGGATTTTGAGAACAACGCCCAGACTGGAGATTAGCAAGCGCAGGGACCCTGCTTCGGCTGGGGAAGGGAAAAAGTCAAAGAGCGTATGCAGCACTTGAGTGATATCATGGTAGATGGCGTTGACGGCAACCTCAAGCTCAATCAGCTCGGCACTATTGAAGGGCCGTGCCTCGTTCTGAGCGCCCGTCGACTCATGCTTGGAGCTGGCCGCCCTAGTGCTGGGACTTTGCCCTTCCTGGAGCAAGGGTATTCCAGTCTGGGCATTCATCAAGGGTGGCCAGTGCAGAAAAAGAACGGCTTGTAGAGCATCGTGGAGGCGCAAGAGAAAGGGCTCAGAAAGCATGAACAGATCGCTCAGCGCCCGCAATTGGACGAGCGCAGCGTGGGTGTCATCGATCCCATACTGCAGTGCGTACTCGCGCAGCAGAGATTGCGCGGGATACGAGAGGTCTGGTTGAAGGTGTGTGAAAAGTGACTGGTCGGCAACAAGACAGGCACGAAAGAGACAGGCATAATGGAGCATGTATGTTTGTGACCCGTGAAAATCGCCGTCGCGAGGTGTTGGTGCCGGGGTATGAACAAGGTCAGGATGCTCACGCAGACGCTGCATGAGGCGCGTCAAACGGAGCGACTCGCTGCTGCGCCATTGGCTGAACCCGTCGTCGGTAAACGTGTCAAGGCGAAAATACTCGTGCCGCTGGAAGTTGACGGCACTTAATTGGCGGGCGAGCTCGAGCAGGATCATGTGAGCTGGCTGACGATGTGCGCGCAGCTCAATCTGATGCGCGCGCAGCTCTTCCATGAGTTTTTTGGTGGAAGTGACCGTACCCGCTTCATGAGCGTGGCCAATCAAATCCACAAGTACCTGCGCATATGGAACGAGATCTTCCCCTGGGGTGGTGATGAGAGGGTGGTCTGCGACGGCAATCAGGGTGGCCAGAAGTTCGCGGGTATTATCGGCACTGAGCCGATGTTGGCGAAAGGCGCGAAAGGCACGACCATGGCGCATGAGCTCTGGGGACCAACGGGTCGCGTCTGGTGTGGTGCTTGTCGTGGTGCCCAGTGAGGCACTTGACTGCTGCGATGCTCGCCCGGAGCTGGGCACTGAAGGACAGACCCATGCAGGCAGGTGATGCCAGGGGCGCAAAGGGGTATGTTGGGGCTGAATGGAAGTTCCAAGGTCACGGTGGCGAGTCCACTCGTGTAGAGAGTCAGCAATGAGGTGTAGACTTTCTACCGGAGCGCTACAGGGGACGGGCTGCCCCTGTAGACTGCGCGGCGGCCCGTCGGCTCGGGGAACGGCGAGCTGAGCAAAGGGGTCGGGCACCCAATCCTCAAAAGGAAGAATGGTCTCTGTATTTCCTTTTGCCATGGCCGCGGCCACCCGGGCCCCTCATGGAAGGGGCGGCAGCAGACGTGCGCCACACGCCAGACGTGGGGTTGCTTCAGAAGAACCTCTCTGACTCGATCCGCCTCTGGGGGAACAGGAGGAGAAGGGGTGGCGCGACCTTGGGTCTCGGACGTTGGCGCACCAAGCCCAACGCAGCGGCAGAATGCCAAGCCCAACGCGGTGTCAATAACCAGCTCGACAAAGAGCTGAACCCCAGCAAATCGCGGCGCTCCAAGAAGGCAGGCAATGAATGCTTTGCGGACGCCCGTCGGCCAAACAGCGAAACGCGCATGCGAACTTGAGCAATTGTCGTTATTGGGATTTTGATTTTAAAAATCGAAAAAGAAAAACAGAGACAGAGACTGAAGAGACAGAGAGACAGAGACAGAGACTGAAGAGACAGAGACAGAGACAGAGACAGAGACAGAGACAGAGACAGAGACAGAGACAGAGACAGAGACAGAGACAGAGACAGAGACAGAGACAGAGACAGAGACAGAGAGACAGAGACAGAGACAGAGACAGGGATTTAATTTTGAAGACATCACTCAGAAAACAATCAAAATCGCAGATGCATTTGGGGGAGGTGAGTTCCATGCCCCGGGGATGGGAAGTTCCCAGCGAGTGTAGCTGTTAAATCGTGTGTGTATTTGCTTTCGTTGGTGGTGTGCCGGTATGTTTGAAGGCTTGATTCAGGTGGCTTGGAATTGTGAAACATCAACTGATGCCGGATGCAAAGGTCAAAAGAAAAGCTAATCGGAGTGGGCTAACATGTAAAACCAGAACTAGGACAGGAGGACATAGCCCACAAGTGTGAGGCTGCTAAGCATAGACGCAACGGTGGATGCACGGACGACATCAAACAAAAAAAAAAAAAAAAACACGAAGAAAACATCGAAAAGGAGGCGCGCCAGGCTGTTGTCAGCAACGATTGACAGCATCAGACAGACCAGTGGACGGCACAGCGCCGCCTCTACCATTCCAAATTGCCAGGACAATACTTGTCAATCAAGCCTTGATAGTAAGGGATCAGAGCCTCGATATCAGGCATGCAGCTGTCCTTGCTGTACAGATCAAACTTGTTCATCTCGCGCACCCAGGGAAGCATGGCTTCATCCTTGCTGTTGGTGAGATGGCCGTAGGCATTGCCTGTGTGCCAGGGGTAGAAAGAGTGGAAACGAATCATGGCCATGCCCTCGTCGGGAATCGTGCACTTGTTGTGCTTCAAAACCTGCAGCAAAGCACGGTCCCATGCAAGACATGACGGTGATTGAATTATTGAGAGAGAGAGAGAGAAAAAAAAAAAAAAAAAAAGCCTGTCTAGCATAACACACATCCAAAAAGTCAAAGCAAAAGGACGGGCAAGGTGTGAGAAGGAAAACAGGCACCAGGCAGCAGCTCATACCTGATAAAGGTACTCGTCGTGGCCCCAGCTCATGAGCACGTTGTCGAGACCACAGTTGCGCTCGTACATGCCCAGTTGCGTGTTGTAGCGCTGGTCCTGAGCATCCGGACCCTTGGCACATTGTTCAGCGAATACAATCGAGCTGTCTGCAGCGCAGCCCACGGGGTACGTATCCCCCACCACGGCCTGCAAGTGAAAAGGCAGAACAACAAACACAGGCGGCATCGACATGAGCTTTGATGAAGCTTGCGCCGGACATGTGGACAGTGGCAGCGAAACAACCCTCCCACCACTCTGCTGCGAAAACCAAAACATGACCCGCAACGCACCCATTGCGGCTCGCCCCACAGCGCCATGACTTTGCCCAGATCATGAATCAGTCCAGTCAGGTGCAGCCAATCTGCACGGATCGGGAGCGAGACGAAACCATGAGTTGAGATCACAATTCGCATCAACGCATCTTGAGGAGCTGAGCGACGAGACCAACAAAACGAACCCTTCCCCGGATGGTGCTGGCGCAAGCGCTCAGCCGTTTGAAAAGCGTGGACAATGTTGGGAATATCCACGTCGGGGTCCGAATCTACTCAACACATCCCAGGCCCGGGCCGATGCAGCTGAGTGCTGAAAACGCTCGCCGTTGAGCGCACAAGGGGATGAGGAGGGTCTGAGGCTTTGCATCGTATGAAACCAACCGTCAATCAGCTTGTTGAGTTCATCCAGGGCCTCCATGATAGTCATTTCACAGTGATCAAAGCGGCACCACTTGGCACGCTGCCCTTGCACAAACTCGACCGATTGGTTCTCGTGCATGAGACGGTACGTTTCGCGCACAATGGCGATGCGCGGGCTGTCAACATAGTTGCGAAACTCGGCAGCCTCCTTCTCCTCTGGACGGAATTCGCTCACATCAACGCACTCAATCGGGCCTTCGACCATGGGCTAAAGTTGACCAGAACCGGCATACATAAGTCGAGCGAATAGCGAGACACGTCAAGGCGATTTGGCTGCCGTTCACTCACAAGATTCAAAACCCGCATCCTGTCAGTCCTTGTGTCACAAACTGTCGCGCGCGCGCGTTCTCTCTCTCTCTCTTATAAAATAAGAGCGATCAGCACAAGGATCCCAAAGTGCCAGAGCTAGAAATTGCACCAGCAGGCGGATACCGGGACAGAGCACAAACACTGCCACCGTCAAGAAAATGGACCCTGCTGTTGGCTATTGGCTGTTGGCTATTGGCTGTTGGCTATTGGCTGTTGGCTATTGGCTGTTGGCTATTGGCAGTTGCTGTTGGCTGTTTTGGAGAAGCTCGCACGCGCCATTTTTTGTTGGTTGCTGCAAGCCATTTGCTCCTCTTCTTCTTTTGTTCTCCTTCTTTTGTTCTTGCCTCGTGGCTGCCGGGTTACACCAACGCATTGTCAGATGTCAGATGTCATATGTCATATGTCAGATGTCAGATGTCAGCAAAGCAGACGCGATCACTTTAGGCGGTTTTCTTGTTGTTTTCAGCCTTCACCGGAACAGCATTTCGCGTCCAAAAGTGCAAGTGGCGGCGGCGGCGGCTCACTGGTCGTTGGGTTAGGTGACGAGTGGCACACCACACGGGGGAACAGCAACGGCAGGCAGGTGGCAGGGTTGATGAGAGAGGGGCGGGTGGACTTGTACTGGCCAGTGCACATGTAACAAGCTAGCCTGGCAGTCATGGACAAGGCGACTAAAGCGCAGCTCAAGGCGGTCAAGGTCGCCATCCGCGATGATCAGCTGGACGAGGCCCAGGAGCTGCTTCAGGTCTGGGAAGAGACGTCTGGATGGCTAGCGGCGCGGTTGCACGCATGACATGTTCCGCAGAAATTTGAAGAGGCCTCTATCTCTCACTTTGCCCTCGCCCCGCATTCGCCCGCAGGAAATTCTGGCGGAGAGCCCAGACCACTACCAGGCTCTCGTTTTTCGTGGGGCCGTCTTCAAAAAGCAAAATCAAGCCGCTAAAGCGGAAGACAGCTACCGCCAGGCTATTCAGACCAATTCAGAGGAGCTACTTGCATGGCATGTGCGTCTTTGACTCTGCCTCGCCTTTGGAGCGGCGTTTCTTTACCTCTATCCGTCTCTTTTACGGCGCATCGCGTTGCAAGTCCGCCACGCATCTCACCCAACTCGTTCGCAGGGTCTAGTGGATCTCTTGGAAGCAGCAGTCGCGGAACGGCCAGGTCGTGAGGAAGAGCTCATCCAGGCCTACGAGCAAGTGCGTCTCTGCCCAACCCGCCTGCCTGACCTTGTGATGAGCGCTGCAGCTGACACAAATGTGCTTGCCTCAGATTCTGGCCATCGCCGGCCTTGAGGCTGAAGTGCGCGCTGGACGTGTTGTTCTTCGCCTCCTGCAGCTGTACGAAAACGAGGGCTATTGGTTTAAGGCCGCCGAGCTTTGTGCCAGCTTGGTGGCCGATGATGGCACCGCTGTGCTGGCCCCGACTGAGGAAGGCACCTCGTGGCCCAGCCAGGCCATCTCCTTCTTTGACCGCCAAGTGGAAGTGCTCGTAGAAAAGGATCGCCGTGCCACGAAGCACAGCCCAGAGCAGGCCCAGCTTGCCATCATCGTCGATATTAAAGCCTCCACCCGCCAGGCCGTCACGAAAGCCTGGCGCGTGTTACTTGCTGCACAGCCAAGCGCCTCTATTGCCACGGCTTTGGCCACGTTCTCGTGGCGCTTTCACCTTGTCCACAACGATGGTCAGACCCCGCATCCCTCCAACCTTGCGACCCGCAACCGACCCGTATCTCTTGACATATGCAACACGCCAGAGACCGAAACCACTTGCTCGCGTTGAGCTTTGAGCGTTGACATCATATATTGATTGTTTATGGCCCCTGTTTGTTGTCCTTTTGCCTTTTAGACCTGGCGCCCGGTCTTGAGCATCTCCCAGCTGCGAGCCAGACTGCATTTCGCACCGCCGCCCATTATCTCCACGCCCAGCCAGTCCCCGAGGTATGGTTCGCCACAGATCATGCGTTCAAAGGAGTGGTCCACAGCCGCGCCATCGAAATGGCTTTTGACTGCCGGCGTCTTCCTCGTCGCCAACCCGCCGTTTCCTCAAGTATTCCTCTTGTCCCTTGCCCCCTCTCTTTGCTCACGGATAGGGATTGCCGCTTTGTGACGAGGACTTGCAACACCCGGCAACAAATGGGTTTGAGGACTTACCTTGTCACTTGGCGGCCGGCCTCGCCCAAGGTACGTTCCCTTCAATCCCATGCCGCAAGGCATCGTGTGCCCATGGTTGGACTCACCGCCCACTTGGCAATCAATGCAGCCCATCGAGCCATGGTGGAGGCCACTGAACCTGGCGTGCTTCTGGCCCAAGGCGCCGTCCTCGACAACATTTCTTCTCTGCACCTCACACCTATTGCCCTGGCATTGCGAGCTCAGCTGGCTTTTTGGATGGGTGATTTGACGCTGGCATGCCAAACGGCCGAGAATGGTCAACAAGAACTTCACTGTTTGCAAGACCTCTGCAGCAACCCCAGCCTGGGTCAAGGGATTGAGTGCTTGCTTCGCATGACGTGCTTGCAGTGTGAATGGCGACTCGACTCTCTGGCACACCAACGGGTAGAACGCGACCTTCATGCGCTGGCTACGGCGCACGGCGCCCTGGAGCGCATCGTCCTTCTTGAACTGGCCCAGCTCGACGTTACCCGCGATCTTACTCGAGATGCCATCGTACGTGTCACGTCCCAAGCCTGGCTTGAGCCACGCCTGATCGACTTCCATCGCTGGTGATTATGACTGTCGCCTCCACGGCCTGAGCACGGCCATTCACCTGCGCCTGTGTGCTTGCTTGAATGTGCAGGAAAAGCTTCAACAGGTGCAGGCGCACGAAGATGGTACGCCGCAAATACTTCATCTCCGAGCTTTGGTCCGAGAGCGAGAGCAGCAACGTGCCGAAGCCCTGGCCGACGCCGAGGCTGCTGTCAAACAAGGGCATCCTCGCCTTGAGCGCTACTTGCTGTTGGGCCGCTTACAACGCCGCGCTGGACAAACCGGGCAGAGCCGTGCCACTTTGGTGCTGGCAGCGCGTCTCAATCCCACACATGCAGACATCTTTTTTGAACTTGGGCAAACCCTTGAGGCTTCTCAAGACACTGAGCGCGCCGCCCAATGCTATGCCAAGACCGTTCAATTGGACTTGGTGCACGAGCCAGCTGGTGAAGCTCTTTGGCGTCTGTATCAACAAATGGGTCGTCACGCCGACGCAAGCCAGCTGGTTGAGCGCGTAAGCTTGGCCCCCTCTGCCGACCGAGTGCGCTGGGTTTGGATTCGCCTGGGCCAGCTGCGCCTTCAGCAGCACCGGGCATCAGATGCAGTCTCAGCTCTACAAAAGGCGCTTCGCAACAACCGCAGTGAAGCCAACATTTGGCGCTTGCTGGGTCGGGCCTATTTCGAGCGCGGAAGCTACGCCTCTGCACTCAAGGCACTGGGTCGTGCTTTCGAGCTCAATAACACCGATGTGGCCGCCCGCACAACGATGGGCAAAGTGCAATTGCAACTCGGTGAACATGCCGAAGCCCTGTCCATCTTCGATGAGGCTTTACAGCTAGACCCAGCCTACGCCCCGGCCATCGAGGGCTATCTCTTGACGCAGTTGGACGTGATTCGACACGACATTGGTCAGGGCTTGCTTCACGCGGCTGCTCAGGCCTGTGCCCAGGGCCTGAGCCTCTTCGTCAGCCGTATTGAAGCCGTTCAAAGTCTTGTGTGCATCTGGAAGACAGTGGCGGACTTGCTCGCCGCGAGCTTCTACTTTCCGCCCAAGCATCAGACTGTCCTTGGTGAGGCGCAGGCAGCGCTAGCGCACGTGTTTCAGTTGGAGAATACGCCCGAACCTCTCGAACTAGCCACGCGTGCCTATGTTTTGTGTGTTGAGCGGGATCCACAGTCCTCATCGAGCTGGGCAGATCTAGCCGGGTGCCTGACCCGTCGCGCATTGCTTGCCCAGGACTTGAGCAATGAACCTGCAAGTCAGGCGCTGTTATCTGAGGCCTTGTGTGCCATTCAGCAGAGTCTGGTCTTGGATCCTGCAGATGGTGAAAGCTGGGAACTAGCAGGCTTCATTGGCCTCCACACACGTGTCTTCCCCTTTGCTGAGCGCGCCTTTGCTAAAGCAGCCGAGCTGCGAGCCGCCGATGGTGGCGCTTGGGTGGGACTTGGTGCCTTGTACCTGATGCAGCACGATCTGCCCCGCGCAAATCAGGCCTTGAGCCGAGCACAAGCCAATGATCCCGGCTTGGCTCGAGCATGGATCGGACAAGCATTGGTTGCGGCTCAGTTTGTCAGCTCAGAGATGCTGGACTTGCTTCGCCATGCCTTTGAGCTGTTTGCGCACCCTCTGGCCAGCCTGGGTTTTGCGTGGCGAGTACTTGCAGCCGTGCTTCCGCAAAGCGATGAGATGGCCCTCCAGGCCTTTGCCCAGCCCGGTCTTCAGTTTGGTGCGTTCGGCCACGTTCCCGACGGAGAGACATCCCACTATTGCCAGCAAGCCCTTGTGGCCATTGAACGTTTTTCAGCAAGCCGGAGCGGTCACCAACTGCCTGTGGCGTGGGCCTTGCAAGGGCTGCTCTCGGAACAAGTCGGGTTGTTTGAGGCTGCGGTCGAAGCTTGGGAATGTTGTGTGAATCTGTTGATGAGTGCCCCGCAGCAGAATGAGGCGCAACTCCAAGTCGCAGTTTCTGGTCTGGCCCGGGCTCTGTGCCATGCTGGTCAGAGCACACGCGGCTTGGAGCTGTATCAGCACGTGGATCGCCCTGGCTTGTTTGACCGTCTGCTTGCGGGTGAAGCGTACCTGCATGCTGGGCGCTATTCCGAGGCCTTTCAGGTATGACCGACAACAGCCCTGCTTTTTCTTCCGCCGGTGTTGTACCTTAAAATCCGCCATTCACCCTGCCTTGTGCCTTGATCTACAATGCTCTGGGGGTGACGTTGATATAGGCCTATTTGCAGGCACGTGACGCGCATACCACGGCACTGTCTGATGGCCAGGCAGACTGCTTTAGCCTACACATTGCAGCTGTGTTGGGTGTGGTGGCCTTTGCCAACCAAGAGCTGGATTTGAGCAAGCAGCTCTTGTTTGAGGCTGTTGCTCGCCCAGAGCTGTGTCCCCCGGCTGTCCTTATCATGGGCGCCCTTGGCGTGATTTCAGATGATCCAGACCTGACGGAAGCCGCCCTTGGTTAGCACGTGATCTCACATCGCACCTAGCTGGGCTCACCTCGTTGGCCGCCGTTCCTCATCCTCCCTCTCACGCTGTACCTTCTTATTTGTTGGTATCCTGCCGCACTTGACAGGTGAGATTCCGCGCCTCCGTCAAAGTGGCGCCTTAAACACACCGGAGCTTGTTGAGTCATACTATCGGCTGCGCGCATATGCCCACTTGGCCCGTGGCGACACCCGTGGCGCACGACGCGCCATCTCTCAGGTTCGTGTAGACACTTTTCATCACAAAAGCTGGCTGCTCAGCTGTGTCGGCATTCTTTTTCGCCCGCTACCAACGTCCACCGCTCGTTCTGCGCGTGTCTATCTGCGACGCTGACCCCCCCCCCCGCAATCCTTGACACAGTTGTTGCGGACTTATCCACAACTGGCTGCCAACTGGGTGCTGCTGAGTAAGCTTGTTAATGGCGACTCTGGTGCCGACACTAGCCAAGGTCTAGTGGACGGACCCTGTGCCGCACCTCGCAACATGGCTCAGGTCCTTTGTCAGGGAGCTTTAAATCTGACTCGAGCCACTCTGGTACGCTCCAGTGGAGCCCAAACCTCGCCCCAAACCTCGACGCACGGACTGGCTGCCAGCATCTACACAACACTGGCTGCAAGTCAAATGGCACATCCAGATGCTCAGCTGTGGTCCGATGGAGACCTCGCTCAGTATCGTGTTCGAGTGCGTCGCGCAGCGCTTCGTGCAGTGCATGTTGCGCCCCACGACTTTGCGTCTTGGTTGCAACTTGCGTGTGCCTTAGCAGCCCATGGTAAGTGGCATTGGGGGGCGCTTCTATCTTGCTGCATGATCTGAGGTCGTTTGTCCTCACCCATAGCAATGCTAGGCGTGGAGCATCAGCAGCAATGTCTCGTGGCCACTGAGCGTGCCATCAGTCTGATGGAAACCACTCTCAGCACCCTGTCCATGGATTTGTTACATCAGCCACGGTCTGTAGCGCACCAAACCTGGATGGGAGCCATGCCAAGTTTTGGCTCATCCTTGCATCATGTCCCTCCTTCCAGGCGCGACGCACTTATGCGCAGTCGACTCTGGGCGATGGCCTGTCGGGCCTTTGCGCAGTTGCGGCTGGCTGCCCAAGCGACGCCCACCAGCAAGCTGCTGTTGCAAGCAGTGGTGCGTTCTTTGGGCGTGTTGACTCTGCCAAATGCATCGCGGCGATATTGACTCGGCGCTCTGAACTGTTTTGAATAATTTTTTTTTTTTTTTTTATGCTCCTGCGGCAGGCTCAATCTTGTCACCAAGCGCAAGCGGAACTACCCGGTCAATCAACTTGGTGAGCTGCGCCCGAAGCTTTCCCCCGTTGCCAACACTGCGGGACCAAGGCGACTTGCTAACTTGATAATGTCGGAATGGCGCCATGATAGGACCGCGTTGTTCGCCACGCTTGAAGCCATGGCAGGCCAGCTCAGCAACGGTGGATCTTTGAGTGAGATGCAATTCTCGGAAACCACTCGTTCGGTGCGTATTGAGCGCCACCGCGCGCCACCTCGCCTCTTGTTGTTGTTGTTGTTGTTGTTGATGTTGTTGTTGTTGTTGTTGTTGTTGTTGTTGTTGTTGTTGTTGTTGTTGTTGTTGTTGTTGTTGTTGTTGTTGCTACTGTTGTTGTTGCTACTGTTGTTGTTTTTCCTGAGTGGCATGGCAATTCCTTGCACTCGCACTTAATTCGTTTACCCCTTCCTATAGGTGGTCGTTGCATACGCGACGGCCGTGGGCGATGCCTCCTTGTTGCAAACATTGGACAAGGCTCGGGCCCAAAATCAGGACCAAGCATCTGGATCTGCACCAACTGCCGAGAGCATCTGGCGACTGTTGCAAGCGGGCGATATGGAGGAGGCAGCCAGTGGAATCAGCACCCTCCTCAGTCAAAACAAAAATGATCTTCTTGCGCGTCTTTTGCTTTGTTACCAGAAGATTGAGACGTAAGGGCATAACTACCACCAACTTGTTATGGGGTCCACCCGAGCCTCCTCGCTGACTGACTAACACCTACTCTTGCCCCATTTTAGATCGGATGTGAAAGGAGCCAAGAAAGAGTTGAAGCGTTTGGATGGCCAACTCTTCCCTGCGGTCATCAAGTTTCTCACCTCCCGTATATCTGCCTAATCACGCACGTCCTCAAAAGCCATTGTGCCAAAAAAAAAAAAAAAACCGTTCAAATTTAAGATTTTGTCATCATGCACATGTGAACGATATGAGAGAGAGAGAGAGAAAGAGAAAGAGAGAAACAACTTTCTCTTTCATAACCACACACACACACACTCCTTGACGTGAAGGGGCGCATGGTTCCATGTGGTCCATGACGGCAGGCGGTCTTGATCTACGCCGCTGAACGACCTCAATTTCCAGCAGCGTCAGGCATCAGTGGCCCACTTTGTGCTGGGCTGGACAGTGGGCGTGCTCTTCTTTATTTTACCCCCGACTTGCCAAGCCGTCCTCTGTCACCACCACCACCAGCATCACACATCATCATGGACGGGACTCCAGACAACCGCCAAAGCGGGCCCGAACAGCGCGGTCGCGGTCGTGGTCGCGGCCGCGGTCGCGGCCGTGGCCGTGGAAATGGTCGGGGTAACGGCCGTGGTCGCGGTCGCGACGTGCCAGACCCTGCGGCGGGCATCTCTGCCCTGGATCCGACTCGCGCTGCGTTTATTCCTGCAACTTCTACATCAGGGCACCATCCGACACGCCATGCTGCGACCTCAGCGAATGGTCACATGGACGGGCCGGCCTTGGCTGTGGCCGAGCCTGTAACCTCACGAGTAGAGACGCAATCACAACACTCTGCATCAAAGTCCAAGGGCCGTCGTCACAAGCTGCCCACCAGCCACTCCGTACCCCAGCTGCAGCTTCCGACACCAACATCGTCTGCTTCACCTTTGATGTTACCGGACCCAGTTTCCACTACGTCGGACCATAATTCAGGGCCGGTGACAGAGGCAGTCAGCCACAACGTTGGCCGCGAAGATGGGACCAAACGACCCCGCGGCCGTGGGCGAGGGCGGGGATCTGCCCGTGGGGCACATCAAGGCCGTGGTGGCCGTGAGACGGGCCGGCCAACCGCTCAATCTGCTGCCCGCGGTGGCAGCCGGAATCGCCGTGGCGAGAGCAGTTTGGACGAGCTACCTCCGAAGCTGGATGCGACAGCCCTGGCTGCTTTGAGTCGCCAGGAGCGCTTGCGCTACGAACTCAATCAAGAACAACTCGAGTGCGTCACATGCCTGGAGCGCGTGCGCCGCCGCGACCCTGTTTGGTCGTGCCAACATTGCCACATCATTCTGCACCTGCGGTGCGCACGCCAATGGAGCAAGAATAGTATCGATCCTACTGGACCCCAGGGTGCAAGGCACTGGGCCTGCCCTGGCTGCCGCGAGCCCGTGAGCCGACTCCCAAAGAGTTATCTGTGCTTTTGCGGCAAGGAAGTGAACCCTCAGCTCCATTCCGGCTTTGATGCCCACACCTGTGGCAATGTGTGCGGTCAGCCTCGTCCCGAGTGCAAACACCTGTGCACCGATACCTGCCACCCTGGCCCACACCCGCCGTGTGGGCAGATGGTGCGTCAAGCCTGTCCTTGTGGTGCCACATCTCGCCAACTCCCTTGCAAGCGAGCACGCGAAGATGCCACCTTTACCTGCACCAACACCTGTGAGAAAACCCTGAGCTGTGGCCACCACAAGTGCCAGCGACGCTGTCACACAGATGACTGTGCCACATGCACCGTCATGGTTCAGCTCACCTGCTTTTGTGGTCGGGCAACACGCTCGGTTCCCTGTGGTTCAAGCCAACATCAAGCTGCCCTCGCCAATGACCTGCAGTACTCGTGCGAAGCTGTCTGCAACCATTTGCTTGACTGCGGCCACCACCATTGCGCAGAAACTTGCCACCCTGGCCCCTGTGCACCGTGTGCCCTCTCCCCAGAGCGTGTCAAAACGTGCCCGTGTGGCCGCTTGCCTCTCCGCATGCTGCTTCGAGGACAACCACGCACCGCATGCACAGACCCTGTGCCCACTTGCATCGGAGTTTGCAATCAGACGCTGGCATGTGGTCATACCTGCCCTGCCAAATGCCACAATGGACCCTGCCCCCCTTGTCAGGAGCGCGTTGCACTGCAATGCGCGTGCAGTGCCACTCAGCAAGAGATGGCCTGTTTCGAAGTGGCGGCGCTGGTAGCCCAGCAAGGCAGTCCTGAGCTGCGTTGTGATCGTGAGTGCCGCCACTTTCTCAGTTGTGGGCGCCACCGCTGCGATCGCATCTGCTGTCCCGGGCGTACACTACCACCCAGCGCAGATGCAGATCTACACACTTGCATGGAATTTTGTGGGCGCCGGCTCAAATGCGGCTGTGAATGCGATCGGCTGTGTCACCGTGGTCGTTGCCCCGATACATGTGGCCGTGTGCTGCGGGAGCCCCTTTATTGTGCTTGTGGTAAAACTAGCATCCGTCCCCCGGTGCCCTGTGGCACTCCCTTACCTGAGTGCAAGTACCCCTGTCGAATCGCGCGCCCCTGTGGCCATCCAGTCAATCATCCTTGCCACCCGTCTGGCGAGTGTCCGCCCTGTGCCACTCTTGTTGAGCGAGGTTGTGTGGGCCACGGCACAAATATTACGGTACGTAACTGCAATTGCATTGGTCGGCGCGGATGGTGCACAAGGGAAGGCCTGGCTCACCCTGTGTTCAACAACTGTTGCAGGGGCCTTGCTATCAGCAGACCCGAATTTGCAGCGACAAATGCGGCCGACCGCTGCCCTGTGGCGTGCACAGGTTGGCCTTGCCCGGCCGCACACTCCGGCCGCACACTCCGGCCGCACACTTGATTTGCTTCACCTTTTGAAGAACCAAAAGGCGTGCCTTCTCACACACCCTCGTGCACTGGTTGTCTGCCCCACTTCTCTCAGCTGCCCTTTCTTCTGTCACGAAGGGAGTTGTACGGAGTTAATTGCCGCGGATAGAGCCAAGCGCACGCCTGCAGGTCGCTCGACTACGCGCTCCAAGAAGCGGGTTACCGCCAATGTCAACCAACAGGTTTGCTGAAGGAAGGGATCGCTTTGTGAGCCATTGAGCACATAGGTTGCTCATATTCTTCGGTTTTTATCATGCTTTTCGAATCTGCAACAGTCATTGGTCAACAAGCCAGCTGCAGCCTGCGGTCTCAAGGTATAGGCGGGCGCCTTGGTCCTGCACTGCCCCTTTCTTGTCCGTAGATTGCGTCGCACCCATGACTGACTCATCAACTGTTGTTCATTGCATAGTGTGGCCGCCTACGAGCCTGTGGTCACCCTTGTGGTCTCGACTGCCATGGGGATGAGCCCTGCCCGGATGTGGCTTGCGCTGTCAAGGTTTCGCGCCGCTGTCGCTGCGGTCATCGACAGGCCACAGCAGCTTGTAATTATGGCTTGCCTGCCCTGGCAGAAGGTTTCAAACAGGCCTTCCAGCGCCGTGCTGAACTTGAGGAGAAGCAGACCCTCGAGGTTGGAGGTGCTGAACATTTGGCTCGCCCCATCCCTGTGGCTTCAGAATTGGTGACGCTGGCGTGCGACGTGAGCTGTGATCGACACGAAGAACTACTGAAGCGCCAACAACGCAACGCTCAACTAGCGCAGTCTCTTCAAGTCTTGCACAAGCCCACAGATGGGCGCTTGGTTGATGAGCCTGAGTATTCCGAGTTTTTACTGCATCAGGTACCCCCCCCCCCCCACCCTCTTTTTTTTTTTTTTTTTTCCTTACTTTCCTCCCTTTCCGTTTTTGTTTCTTGTGGCTTTTGTCCTGTACCCCCATTTGTCCCTTGCGCTTTCCTGACGCGCCTTGCTGATACGCTCGTTCAATAGGCGCGAATCAATCCTGAGCTGGTTGCTGAGGTTGAAGCCAAGCTATCACAATTTGTTCTTGACAACAATCGCCGCGAGGTATTGCCAATGGAGCTGGCCCCGTCCTTGCTCCAGCAGCAAGACTCGCCGATGCTCACTTTCATTTGTCTCCATTTCTCATATCAGGAACGCCTGCGTGTGATGAAAAAGCAAGAACGACAACTCGTTCACGAGCTGGCTTTGAGCTACGGTAAATCGTGCTGACTACAGGCATTTGTCAACCCGACCATCGGGCCTGGCCACGGTTCCCTCATTAAGCGCGATTCTTGCCTTGGCCGTCGCCGTGGCCGTGGCTACACCATAGGTCTAGTTTCCGAGTCGCAAGACCCAGAGCCCTTCCGAAATGTCGTACTGTATCGAGGCATTGCAGGAGAAGCAGCCCGCGTCCCTTCCGTTCGACTCTCCGAGGCCGCTGCTCACATCAAGTAGCTGCCGTCTAATTCGTGTCTGTGTCAATCTCTCTTCCTCCTCTGACAGCTGCGTGCCATGAAAGCAGGGATGGGGAAGCACGCCCCATGTCATTCTGGGTTGGAAGAAATCGTCAAATTGAGCACAAACAGCTTTTTGAATCTTTCATAACCACACGCGTTTCTGTCAGTCATCGATGATGACATTTGCATTTTCCTTCCATTTGGTCGTAGCGAACTGGCTTTGATCCACCATCCGGGTGGCGCTGCTGCTTCAGGGATCGGCAAGGCTCGCGACGCATGCGTGTGGCATTTGCGGCTGCAAGAGGGCCGGCCTTGTCTGGGCGTGACACCAGAGCGTGCCGCTTCACCCTTCACCGACCATGCGATGTTGTATCGCGGCTGACCAGCTCCCATCGCGGCTGGAGCCCTTTGGCTTCGCCCCGGATGTGGCAGCCTACATCACTGAACTCTTGGCTGACGTGGAGCAGGAAGTCGAGGATGTGCGACAGGTGAGCAAACGAATGATGAACAGCAGGCATTATGGTTGTAGCTGGGAAGCCTTACTGTCGATCAAGTCCCGGCTTGATTCGGCAACCTCACGCCTGGCTCCCGTGTCCGCTGATCTAGGCCCTCGAGGCGTTTGAGGACGAGGCACAATGCCAGGCCTTTCCCGCTGCAGTGAGTCGCTTTATCGAGTTGGCAACAGCTGGCCCGTCCAGCCATGCCGCGCCGGAAAGCGACCCTGCCGTTTCCGCCACTCCTGTGCGGCTGGATGCATCCTCCCTTGCCGAGCTCAAATACAACGCCGCCCAGCCCGACCCGCCGTCCTCGCTTCATGCATCTGCTGATCATGCATTTGGAGTAACCGTGTCCTCCACTGCAGATCAACATCAACCGCATTTGAAGTCCCATCGGAACCGTCGGAAGCAACGACGAGCCCGTCAAGCCACAAAAAATGTGGATAGCTCAGATCATGCTGAGCACGTCGATGCCACGGGAACAACAACCACCGCGACAGAGGATGGGGGCAACGAGCGTAAGGGCTACAATGCACACCAATATTTGGATCGCTCTGTGCACCCCTGAGACAAACAGCCTCACGCCAGCATGCCTGCATTTGTTTCGCGCCTGTACCTCGTTCTAGTCATGATCTCGAGCGAGCAATCGCGCTTTCACGCAGATCAAGACGGCGAGTCACGTGAGGTGCTTGTGCGGCGCTTAGACATCTCCTTCATCGGTGGGCCTACCCTGCTCGAGGGCGCCACTCTCAAATTTCAACCCGGCCATCGGTATGGCGCGCCTGAATTGGTTTTTCGCGTGCTAGCTTTTTGCCACATTTCACGTTGTCAAATCACAAATAGCTATGGTTTCATCGGACCAAACGGCTCTGGCAAGTCGACGCTCTTGCGGGCCATTGGTGAACACCGCATCCAGGTTTGCTTGCCCCAGCGCAGAACCTCGAACGCCCTTGTACTGCTTTGTTTTGCTCTTCACCGCGTCAGCCAGCTGGCTCGCGATGTTTTTGTTGTTTTCCTTGTGCTCTTTCATCTGCTCGTTCTTTCCTTCTCTTGACCAAGAGCCAACTCATTTGCCCCACTCACCCATGGCTGACATGAATAGAATCTACCTCCCGACCTCCGCACACTCTTCATTGACCAGGAGGCAACCTTTGTGAACTGCCCTCTTGTGGACTTTGTCGTACAGGGAGATGCTGACCTCGTGCGCATTCGCCGCCAAATCCAAAATGTGCAGGATGGGCTTGAGCAAGCCAGTGGCGATAAACTCTCTCAACTCATGGATGAGCTCGAGCTTATGGATGGTGTGGGCCAAGCCCCAGAGGATCGTGCGCGTGCTGTGCTTCGGGACTACGGTTTTTCGACAGCCATGCTGTCCACGAATCTGCATGAGCTCTCCGGAGGCTGGCGCATGCGTGCAGCGCTGGCACGAGCCACCTTCAATCCGCCTGAAATACTTCTGCTGGACGAACCAACCAATCACCTTGACCTTGAGGGCATTGAGGAGCTGGAACAACGCCTTGAGCAACTGACGTGCTGTGTTCTAGTTGTGTCGCATGACAAAATGTTCCTTGACCACGTGTGCACGGATATCGTACATCTCAAAGATCGCTCGCTCCACTATTTCCACGGAAACTTGACCGCTTATCAGAACCACTGTGAGGAGACGTTTCGAAAACAGTTGCGACAATACGAGTTGCAAGAGCAACGTCGCGAGCATTATCAAAAAACCATTGACCATGCCGTGCAGCACGCTCGGCGTACCGGTGACGACAAGGCGTTGGGTCTCGCGGCATCGCGCAAGAAGAAGCTGACCGAACGACTGGGCCCCGATAAGCGTGAGGATGGCAAGAAGTGGAAGAGCAACGTCCGACGAACCGCGCGTAGTCTCAAAGACTATGAAAATTGCATAGATGGCACGCGCCAGGAGGTAGGAATTCATCTCATCAACCGCCATCAGCCTTTTGTCGCATGTTGGCGCCTTTTTGAAGCTGGTGTTGGGGTTCGACTTGGGCTTACACGGATCTGATTTGCTCGGAAAGGTGGAAGCGCCAAGGAAGGCCAAACCGCTGGCCTTCAAGGCAAGAACGCCCAATGTGGCAGCGCAAGGCTCGGCCCACGTCGTACTTGACACCGTCGCCTTTGCGTATGCGCAGGACGCCCCGCTGATTCTCAATAATGTCTCATTGCGCGTGGACGTCGGTGATCATGTGGGCCTTGTGGGTGCGTGACAAGCCGAGCTGCGAGAGTCATTTGCCGCGCTCACTCAAAACATGTGACGCTCTTCGACGTTCTCACCTGTTCTTTTTCTTCTTGCTGCCGTGCAGGTCGTAACGGCTCGGGCAAATCAACGCTTCTTAAATTGATTCGAAAAGAGCTTGCGCCAACGCGGGGGCTGGTCGAAATTGATCGACACGCCTCCATGGGTGTGTTCGAGCAGCAACACGTGGATGCTTTGGATTTGACGCAGACGCCACTGGGCTACCTCGCCGAGTGTTTTCCAGATGAGAAAGAACAAGAGCTGCGAAATCATCTGGGAGCCTTTGGCTTGGCCAAGCGCTCACAACTACCCCTGCACTTATGCTCTGGGGGTCAGCGCTCGCGGCTCGTGCTCGCCAAACTGTTCTTGGAAGCGCCGGCCCTTCTCATTCTCGACGAGCCGACGAATCATTTGGACTTTGATGCCATTGATGCTCTGGCAGAAGTGCTAGCAGCGTATGCGGGCACGGTCATTGTGGCGTCGCACGACCGTGCCTTTTTGCAGACGGTGGCCTCCTCGATCTTCCGCTTGTCAAAAGGCACCCTGTCACGCCTTGACACAAATTGGTCGTGACGCACTGTTGCTCATAAGCCACATGGCTTGATTTAGAATCATGCTCCCACGTCATGGGCTGCACAATTGTGCTGTGAGAAACAAGCTTGATTATCAATTTGATGAAAGGCGAAATGTCAAACATTCACTCTGCTCAGATGACCAATGACAGTTCAAAAAAAAAAAAGTCTTTTAACATGTTCCTTGCGTGTGTTCCATTTTTTTTCCCCCATATACAACACACCCCATCCATCAAGATTCAGCAGTGGGATCACGCAACAGGCGGACCCCCTGGCCCAGGAGTCGCTTAATCATCACGGCTCGAATAGCAGCGGCTTCGGCTGCACCGTATGCAAAGGATGATTGTCCGAAGTTCAAGCACAACGATGTGCTCGATGCGGGCCATAACATGCGTGTCGGGGAGTATCGTTCCAGCAAAGCATCTGGCACTGCCTCAATGCACTCGTCTACACATGAGACAACCAAAGCAAAGCAGGTGAGAAAGCTGAGTCCATGTATGTATGGCAAGTGGTCGGACGGCGCCAGCAAAGCAAGCGGAGTGGGGCGAACCTAGCGCATGGCCATTGACGGTGAGCATGACCTGGCATGAAGTTGTCAAACCGATGCCAACTACCTCAAGTGCTTTTTGACTGGATTGGCACACATGGGCGGGAAGACCGATGCCATCCCGGGACCACAAAATGGTCGGCCCACATTGGACTAAACCCCTGCTCCAATCAACCGTCACGCCACAAGCATCGCCAACGTCATCGGCATAGCCGAGCCAGCTAACTGTCTCTCCGGCCACATGCGTCGCCTACGTAACAGGGCCAAAGCAAAAAGGAAATGCATTTATAATCACCCGCCTACCACGGTCCATACAGGCTAACACACACACGGAAAGAAAGAAAGAAAGAAAGAAAGAAAGAAAGAAAGAAAGAAAGAAAGAAAGAAAGAAAGGAAGGAAAAAAAAAGAGAGTGCCATCGCCTGCTCACCTCAAAGTACATGACAAGATCGGCGGCTGAAAGGGTGACTGGGGCAACCAGCAGTGGCATTTCGCGCAAAGTCAGGGGCACACGCTCCTCCAACTGAGGCGGCCGGGGCGCGAGATTGAGCGCTTGATCCCAAGGGCGTGCCTCCTTTGGGAACCAGGCATGTTCAAAGAGAAAGTGTGCCTGGAAAAAAATATTCAAGGTCAAGGTCAAGTTCTGTGAGTGCTATGGCCAAACAAAATGCACACGATAAACAAACGCTGGGGGCGCGTATGTTCATGTTCGAGGTGACACCAGATGGCACAAAAAAAAAGCCAACCTCTTCGCCCGTTGCCAAGGAGGCACACGGATGCCAACGCTTGTACTTGTTGATGCCTCGAATTGCGATGCCCAGGTACTCATTGTTCACCTGAAACGCCATTGTCCCCGCGTCCAAGTCCAAGATGGCTACAACAACGTCCCCTGCAAAGGTATAAAAGGTGACGATCGATATATTGAAGGCAGGTAGGAAAACATTTGGCGTCAGCAAAGACGAGTAAACTTGCACGTCAAACCGCCAGCGCAAATGAGGTACGGGCGGGGGGCATTCTCAAATTGAGAACACGCCCGCAGAAACAGCGCCAGCCAGAAACGCACCGGCACTCCAGGCACGCCCGTAAGACAGATTCCCGCCAATCAGTTGCTCGCGTCCATCGTGCCAGATTCGAAGCCTGACAAAAAAAAAAAAGGGGGGGGGGGGGGGGGGGGGGAAAAAAAGGGTCC